CTCGATGCCGACACATCTTTCTAGCTGATTTACACGCTGAAGCTATGTTGCACTTGGTGACCTCTGACTGTTTCATCCTAACATCGTTGGTGCCGACGTGGATAACAATATCTCTATACTCTCTACACTCGCCAGTTTTAGCTTTAGCCAGCACCATCTTTAGATTAGCCTTAACGTCGGTAGCCCTGCCCCCTGGTAAACAGTGTATGATCGCTGGGTGATTCGTTTTAAGTCTAATACTGCGGGTAATGGAGTCGCCAATGACTAGGGTTTTCAATTTGTCAGAGCTAATGGTGGGAGCCTTCGGCGTCTCAGACCCCGTAACGGGAGGAGTAGAGACAAGAGAAGACTCAGACTCAGACTCCGACTCGCTACATAATGGGGAAAACCGGTTGAAAGTTTCTGTCGGCTGAATGAGCGACACCGGTTGAGCATTCCAACAGTATTTCCCTCCAGAAGCCATGAGAAAGTTGTCCGGCTGCGGGGACTGTGCGGGGGGATTTATACTAACGTTACTATCTGTACTTACTGGTGGCACAGACGCTGTTTCTTCCTTTCCTACACTGAAATTACCCTTGCCTAACGATTGCGTCTGAAGCTGGGCTTGTAGCACAGCTATTCTCGCCGTAAGGCGATCGTTCTCCTGTATATTATGAGTACAGCGACTGCAATTAGAAGACATCATGTTAATGTTACTACTTAGCTTCGGCTGTTGAAGATGTTGACGAACCATGTCCAGATAAAGCGTCCGGAGTGAAAAGTTGAATGAGGGAAAAAAGTTGCGATGGAAAAAAGGAAAATAAAGTAAAGTTGGCAGCAAAAACGCACAGGAAAATGACTCTTCTGTCTCGGGATAAAACGTCCGGGGTGAAAAAGTTTAACGAAAAAAGATGAGTGAGGACAAAACTAAAAAGTTGGTAAATTTGTTGAACACAGAGATTGATTAAACGTTTATTAAAAGTAAAACGTGAATAGTTTGGCAGGTAGCCAAGTAGCAACAAACAGCACAGCAGCACGGAGACAATGCGGAAGCGAGACGGAAATGACTTGTCAACAGCTGTAACAGGAACACAGTATTATGGCATCGCCGAAGTCAAGGATCGGTAGGATAGTCAGTTTTACGAGGGCATGTTTGGCAGCATGAGTGAAGGAGGCTTTGTTGCGAAATAGGAAGCCGATTCTAGATTTAACTTTGGATTGGAGATTCTTAATGTGAGTGGAAGGAGAGTTTACAGTCTAACCAGACACCTAGGTATTTGTAGTTGTCCACATACTCTAGGTCAGACACGTCGAGAGTGGTGATTCTAGTCGGGTGGGCGGGTGCCAGCAGCGTTCGATTGAAGAGCATGCATTTAGTTTTACTAGTGTTTAAGAGCAGTTGGAGGCTAGTGAAGGAGTGTTGTATGGTATTGAAGCTCGTTTGGAGGTTTGTTAACACAGTGTCCAATGAAGGGCCAGATGTATACAAAATGGTGTCGTCTGCGTAGAGGTGGATCTGAGAGTCACCAGCAGCAAGAGCGACATCATTGATATACACGGAGAAAAGAGTCGGCCCAAGAATTGAACCCTGTGGCACCCCCATAGAGACTGCCATAGGTCCAGACAACAGGCCCTCCGATTTGATTCTTCCGATCGCATTGAGGAGTACACCACATCAGTCACTGGCTTCATCAATAAGTGCATCGATAATGTCGTCCCCACAGTGACCGTACGTACATACCCCAACCAGAAGCCATGGATTACAGGCAACATCCGCACTGAGCTAAAGGGTAGAGCTGCCGCTTTCAAGAAGCGGGACTCTAACCTGGACGCTTATAAGAAATCCCGCTATGCCCTCCGACAAACCATCAAACAGGCAAAGCGTCAATACAGGACTAAGATTGAATCGTACTACCGGCAGGGCTTGCAAACTATTACAGACTACAAAGGGAAGCACAGCCGCAAGCTGCCCAGTGACACGAGCCTACCAGACGAGCTAAATTACTTCTATGCTCGCTTCGAGGCAAGCAACACTGAAGCATATGTAGTCTGGCGAAAGTATACCCAGCACAGGACACAAACTAATTTGGGGTTGTTTATTCTGTCGAAGCTTAAATTTAAAATAGGATAATGTAGAAGGCAAATCACCACAAGATGAAGTCACCATAAAGTAAAGTTCAGTCTAAATCACAATCAAGTGAAATAAATCTGTTAGTAAAGTGCATAAAAACAATCTGAGTACAATAAGTGCAAAGTGAAATGCATAACCGGTAGTGGCTCTGCTTTAAACACACTGTCCATCTGATACCCTAACCCCACATGGAACAGTAGATCCTCATCTCACCCAAACCCCAGCTTCAAATAATGTTATCACAAACTCCACAACGTGGTTCTGAGAGCACTGGTATTCAGCTAGCAAGAAGCTAACATCCTCATGTCAATCTAAAGTAACACTCTCCAGTGTAATTGCTTGCTCTAACTCTTAAACACTGTGCATGCGCAATCCCATAACCATTTGCACACCTTATTTATGAATCTCTTAAAGGGACAGTGCCATCTAGTGGATATAAATGAATATGGCGACGTGCTTTTACCACCTGGCTACACATGCATGAGAGCATCAGCTGTTCCGGACGACCGTGTGATCTTGCCCTAGTCATAGACTGTTCTCTCTGCTACCGCACGGCAAGCGGTAACGGAGTGCCAAGTCAAGGTCCAAAAGGCTTCTTAACAACTTCTACCCCCAAACCATAAGACTCCTGAACAGCTAATCAAATGGCTACCCGGACTATTTGCATTGTAAGTAAGCATTTCACTGTAAGGTCTACTACACCTGTTGTATTCGGCGCATGTGAAAAATACAATTTTATTTTATTTGATCATCAGAAATGTGTAGTTCTGACTATCCTCTTCAAGAGGTGATGATATTAAAAGCAAACAGTTATAACATTTATTTAACAATTCCTTAAATGGCACGCAATTGTCAATGGTTTTAGAGAAGCTGGGGGTCTTCTTGTCCCCCAGCAGCCAAATCGACCGCTCTGCACCGTATTGTGACATTTTATTTATAATGGCCTAAAGCAGCAAGGCCAAATTCAATGTTTTATAAAAAAAAAAAAAACATATTTGTCTGATATGGGCAGGGATCCTAAAATACAAAATCTAATAGCTAGATGGTCCATGTTGTTACTATCTTAAAACAATTCCATATGTTAGGTTAGTAGAGATGATACAAAAATACCTTGAAGCCTAGAGGGTTACAACAGAGACCAATTGGTTGTAATCTGGTTAAGTGACGTCTTCTCAACCAGAAAATGATGTCATGTGCCAAATTTCCACTGTACTGTCTACCCCTGGAACATGACAGACTCCTGTTTGTTTGTACTCCTGATATTATTATATCCAGATTTTTATCCTGATATTCTACTGATATATCCACTACATTACCAAAAGTATATGGACACCTGCTTTTCGAACATCCCATTCCAAAATCATGGGCATTAATATGGAGTTGGTCCCCCCTTTGCTGCTATAACAGCCTCCACTCTTCTGGGAAGGCTTTCCACTAGATGTTGGAACATTGCTGCGGGGATTTGCTTCCATTCAGCCACAATAGCATTAGTAAAGTCGGCGTTCCAATTCATCCCAAAGGTGTTCGATGGGGTAGAGGTCAGGGCACTGTGCAGGCCAATGAAGTTCTTCCACACCGATCTCGACAAACCATTTCTGTATGGACCTTGTTTTGTGCACGGGAACGTTGTCATGCTGAAAAAGGAAAGGGCCTTCCCCAAACTGTTGCCACAAAGTTGGAAGCACAGAATCGTCTAGAATGTCATTGTATGCTGTAGCGTTAACATTTCCCTTATCTGGAACTAAGGGGCCTAGCCCGAACCATGCAAAACAGCCCCAGACCATTATTCCTCCTCCACCAAACTTTACAGTTGGCACTATGCATTTGGGCAGGTAGCGTTCTCTTGGCATCCACTAAACCCAGATTTGTCCGTCAGACTGTCAGATGGTGAAGTGTGATTCATCACTCCAGAGAACGCGTTTCGACTGCTCCAGAGTCCAATTGCGACGAACTTTACACCACTCCAGCCGACGCTTGGCATTGCGCATGTTGATCTTAGGCTTGTGTGCGGCTGCTCAGCCTTGGAAACCCATTTCATGAAGCTCCCGACGAACAGTTATTGGACTGACGTTGCTTCCAGAGGCAGTTTGGAACTCAGTAGTGAGTGTTGCAACCGAGGACAGATAATTTTACCACGCTTCAGCACTCGGCGGTCCCATTCTGTGAGCTTATATGGCCTACCACTTCGCGGTTGTTGCTCCTAGACCTTTCCACTTAACAATAACAGCACTTACAGTTGACCAGGGCAGCTCAAGCAGGGCAGAACTTTTATGAACTGACTTGTTGGAAAGTTGGCATCCTATGACGGTTCCACGTTAAAAGTCACTGAGCTCTTCAGTAAGGCAATTCCACTGCCAGTGTTTGTCTATGGAGATTGCATGGTTTGCTCGATTTTATACACCTGTCAGCAACGGGTGTGGCTGAAAGATCCAAATCCACTCATTTGAAGGGGTGAACACATATGTTTGTATATATAGTGTATCTTCTGCATGGACACTACAGTATGTAAACCTGAACTTACATTAAAACACAGTCTGATGTCTTGTAAACAGGCTGTCTGTTTTGTAAGGATTCTATTTGACCACGCCAGCCTACCTTGCTCTGTCTCTGAGCAAGCTGGGCATCCCAGCACTGATCTGGAGTCAACAGAGGAGAGTGTGTCAGTTTTGAGACATGCTCATGCACACATGCAGCCACGCTTGCGCATGCACACACATACACATACATACACACACTGTTTACAGCACCGGGGCTGTAACAAGGAGCCAGAGAAAAACACACATGGTTTTGCTCTCAGACCCTAAAACAACAGATTGAGAAAGACATCCCGCTCTATCTGCCGTAGAAGAGACAAAATAGCAGTCTTTCTCCAGGCTTCTCATTCTATCAGGTTTCCCCCTCTGTGTCCGCTTGCACAGCTGCGGGCCACGGCTTCCCTCTCAGTCTCAGAGGCCAACTCACACAAGGTAAACACACACCCGGACAGCCGGCAAAGCTGGATAGGAAAATGATCGTTGGACAGGGTTGATTTTGCCTGTGTTGTTTTCCTCACAATGCCTTTTGGGTTGAATCATAAATATCACTGTAGTTGAATATCTTCAACCGAATTAGGTTGTTTAACACATTGTATGTTAATATTTGAAATGGCGCTAGCTAGGCCGCGGACAGAGTCAGTTTAGAGTAAGCCATGTGTTTATATCTGCGATAGTGTGTTCAGCTGAGATACGGAGCATAACTCATCAAGCATAATATTCTGCCACCAGGAAACTAAATATAGATGGTGTTTTGATTGCGTGAAAATTTCAAAGGAGATTATGATCAGCACCACTAAAATAGCAGTGCCAAGAGCCAAGGGGCAGAGCTCTGGCCTTTCTGCCCACCTGCCTGCCTCACATGGCTCTTACAGCAGGTATTCACAATTATCCTCAGGGCCGTGTGTCACTTTTTCCAGCGCATGGATTCTATGTGTGTGTGGGATTGTGTGTGTGTTTGTCTCACTCTCTTTGGGAGTGTTGTGGGGAGTCATAGGTCAATGGTCCGGGTTGGCTCCTTCACTTGGCTTCTCAGCGCCCTGAGTCACTGAGTGGCTGTCACCCCATGAACCTGTGACCTCATCTCCTTAGCTCCCTCAGCCCTCCTTCTATACCAACCGCAGGTTTCGGTGCATGACATCATGAGCTGAGAAGGTCTTCGCTAATGATGGGGGAACGGGGGTCGGTAAAGTGGACGGGAAAGGAGAGGGGGTGAAGTGGGGTGTGATCCGGAACGCGGATAATTTTTTCCAACATTATTTGAGTATTAGCCGTGTCATTATTAACGCAGGTGTGTTTTCTCAATGACCAAATTCTTCTTCTTATTTGCTGAATAGAGCCTGTCAGAAACCAGCTGGGAGATGGGAAAGGGCATTGCCGCCGGCAACAGAAGACATCCGTGGATACACACAACCCGTCCCTGTCTGGCTGGCCACAACACCCCGTATAGCCCAAAGACTTGATCCCTATCACGCATAGCGTAGCATAGAATTCCCCCTTCATGCTTTATTTTTACACAATCCAAACGCACGCAGAGGATCAGGATATGGCCGCTTACATTATTTAATTAGCACGGGTGACGTGCTGAGAGGTCAAACTCCATTCAGAGCAGAAACTCTATCCACTCATTGATTCTATTAAAAGCTGTGGGCTATGTGTGTGTGTGTGTGTGTGTCAGAGCAGGGCTTGCCTGGTGTGGTGAAGACCCCCCCTCCTCCCACACACTCCCCACCCCTGTCCGCCCCACCAGTGGGCTCTAACACTGTCAGCTGAATACAACCCTGGGGTTCAATGGCACACTTAAAAGTAATGGAACACTGCAACAACAATACATACGTATAGGGCACAAGTGTGTACATGCAAACACATAAAAAGAGAAAAACAATTGTATTTGTCACATGCTTTGTAGACAACGGGTGCAGATTAACAGTGAAATGCTTACTTACGGGTCCATTTCCAACAATGCAAAGTTAAATATAAGATAAAAAGTTAAATTAAACATTGAAATAGTGACACAAGGAATAAATGCACAGTGAATAACGAATAAAACTATAGAGTAAAATAATCAGCAGTTTGCAAATGTGGATGATGTGTGTGTGAGGTGCAGAAGGGGAGTTACTGATGTTAGTGAGTGCGTGCGTGCTTTCCTGTGTGCATGTGTCTGACCGTGCGAGTGTGTGTGTGAGGTGAATGAAGCTATGCCTGCTGTGAAAGCCATTAGGTGCATTTGAAGTGGGAGCGATCATTGAGCGTGAGTCTGCCAGCCGCGGATGTTTGGGCTGAGCTAGGAGATGCAGTCCGGGGCTTCCGACAGCGTTCAGTCTCTAATGGACAGACCTCCACTCACCACTGGGGTCATTCTTCGTTTTCATACACGCCAAACACACACACACACACACACACACACATACACAACACACAGCCCAGGGCTTTTAATAGAGTCAATGAGTGGACAGAGTTTCTGCGCTGAATGGAGTTTCAGAGCAGCACTGGGGTCATGACTGGGATGACTGGGGTCACACATGCCACACACACAGACCTACACACACGGGCGCAAACAGACACACACAAACACACACACAGACCTACAGGGCGCGTACACACACACAAAGATTTACATGGGGGCGTGTACACCCTTACCATTTTAAATGTAAATGTTTGTCATTTAGCAGACACTCTTATCCAGAGCGACATACAGTTAGTGCATTCATCTTAAGATAGCTAGGTGGGACGACCATATATCACAGGCCTCGGGGGGGGGTGTCAAGTGCTGGTTCAGACACACACACACAGTTAGACATACACTTATGCCTGCAAACAGAAACACACACACAACCCCCCCCCCCACACACACACACACACACAAACGCACTGTATACCTCTTTGCTTGTTAAATACTACAGTGTTGTGGCTTGTAGCTATGCACACAAATCCTCTCGTCTGAACCCTCAGGACTCTGAAACGGAACACATCAGATCCCCATCTCTGTAAGCGCAGAAACAGGCTTCCTCTCAGCTTATTAACTCTTGTACTAGAAAAGGGAAAATACTAGTGAGAACACATTCCACCCCATCTGATACACTGGCTTCCCCCAGCCATCCTCTTTTGCTATTTATATAGTATACACATACAGCACCAGTCAAACGTTTGGACACACCTACTCATTCAAGGGTTTTTCTTTATTTTTACTATTTTCTACATTGTAGAATAATAGTGAAGACATCAAAACTATGAAATAACGCATGTGGAATCACGTAGTAACTAAAACAGTTTTAAACAAATCCAAATATATTTTTAATGTTAGATTCTTCAAAGTAGCCTTGATGACAACTTTGCACACTCTTGGCATTTTCTCAACCAGCTTCATGAGGAGTGCTTTTCCAACAGTCTTGAAGGAGTTCTCGCATATGCTGAGTACTTGTTGGCTGCTTTTCCTTCACTCTGCGGTCCAACTCATCCCAAACCATCTCAACTGGGTTGAGGTCGGGTGATTGTGGAGGCCAGGTCATCTGATGCAGCACTCCATCACTCTCCTTCTTGGTCAAATAGCCCTTACACAGCCTGGAGGTGTGTTTTGGATCATTGTCCTGTTGAAAAACAAATGATAAACCCACTAAGCGCAAACCAGATGGGATGGAGTATCACTGCAGAATGCTGTGGTAGCCATGCTGGTTAAGTGTGCCTTGAATTCTAAATAAATCACAGACAGTGTCACCAGCAAAGCACCATCACACCTCGTCCTCCATGCTTCACGGTGGGAACCAAACATGCAGAGATCATCCGTTCAACTACTCTGCATCTCAAGAATCTCAAATTTGGACTCATCAGACCAAAGGACAGATTTCCACCAGTCTAATGTCCATTGCTCATGTTTCTTGGCCCAAGCAAATCTCTTCTTATTATTGGTGTCCTTTAGTAGTGGTTTCTTTGCAGCAATTCGACCATGAAGGCCTGATTCACGCTGTCTCCTCTGAACAGTTGATGTTGAGATGTGTCTGTTACTTGAACGCTGTGAAGCATTTATTTGGGCTGCAATTTCTGAGGCTGGTAACTCTAATGAAGTTATCCTCTGCAGCAGAGGTAACTCTGGGTCTTCCTTTCCTGTGGCGGTCCTCGTGAGAGCCAGTTTCATCATAGCGCTTGATGGTTTTTGCGACTGCACTTGAAGAAACGTTCAAAGTTCTTGAAATGTTCCATATTGACGGACTTCATGTCTTAAAGTAATGATGGACTGTCGTTTCTCTTTGCTTATTTGAGCTGTTCTTGTCATGATATGGACTTTTACCAAATAGGGCTATCTTCTGTATATCACCCCTACCTTGTCACAACACTACTGATTGGTTCAAATGCATTAAGAAGGAAATAAATTCCACAAATTAACAAGGCACACCTGTTAATTGAAATGCATTCCAGGTGACTACTTCATGAAGCTGGTTGAGAGAATACCAAGAGTGTGCAAAGCTGTCATCAAGGCAAAGGGTGGCTACTTTGAAGAATCTCACATATAAAATATATTTTGATTTGTTTAATATTTTTTGGGTTACTACATGATTCCATGTGTGTTATTTCATAGCTTTGATGTCTTCACTATTATTCTACAATGTAGAAAATAGTAAAAATAAAGAAAAACCCTGGAATGAGTAGGTGTGTCCCAACTTTTGACTGGAACTGTATATAGGAGTCTTAGTGCAGTTTTTCATTCATGTCATTTCATATTTATTTTTTGGCCACTCAGTAACAATTGCCACTGTTTTCCAGGGAGTCCTGGGTTCCATAGAATCAATAGAAACAGATAAAAAACACATCCTAATGTCACGATCGTCTGGGTAAGGAGTAGACCAATGCGCAGCGTTGCAGGCAAACATACTCATTTATTAGCGAAACGTAATCAAAACAACAAAAGACGGTAACGTGACAGTACACGGTTAAACACAACCAACACGAAACAAGAACCCACAAAACACAAAGGAAAACCGACAGTTTAAATATGGCTCCCAATCAGAGACAACCAGCAAACAGCTGACACTCGTTGCCTCTGATTGGGAGTCACTCAGGCCAACCTAGACATAGAACAACTAGACACTCAAACACAGCACATAAACACACGGAATCTACACACCCTGACTCAACATATAAAGTCCCCAGAGCCAGAGTGTGACAGTACCCCCCCCCAAAAGGCGCGGACTGCGACCGCGCCTCAACAAAACCCCAAACAGGGGAGGGCTGGGTGGGCATTCCTCCTCGGAGGCGGCTCCGGCTCCGGGCTTGACAACCACCCTTCCATAATTCCCCCGTAGCGCCCCTGGTCCGGTCTGACCCCGCTGGCTGGATCTGGACTGGACATCGACGGAGCGGATTGCTTACGCTCCGTTGTGGAGCAGCTGACCGGTACCTGATCAGGCACCAGACTGACGACGCGCACCCCTGGCTTGGCGCGTGAGGCAAGAACGGACCGGACCTGGCTGACGACGCGCCCCCCTGGCTTGGTGCGTGGAGCAGCAACGGACCGGACCGGGCTGACGATATGCACCCCTGGCTTGGTGCGTGGAGCCGGAACGGGCCTCACCGGACTGACGACTCGCACCCTTGGCTTGGTGCGTGGAGCAGCGACGGGCCTTACCAGGCTGACGACTCGCACCCCGGGCTTGGTGCGAGTAGCAGGAACGGGCTGAACCAGGCTGACGACTCGCACCCCTGGCTTGGTGCGAGTGGCAGGAACGGGCTGGACCAGGCTGACGACTCGCACCCCTGGCTTGGTGCGAGTGGCAGGAACGGGCTGGACCCGGCTGGCGACGCACACCGTAGTTTTGGTGCGAGTGGCAGGAACAGGCCGGGCCGGGCTGGCGACGCACACCGTAGGTTTGGTGCGTGGAGCAGGGACAGGCCGGACTGGGCTGGCGACTCGCACCCCTGGCTTGGTGCGAGTGGCAGGAACAGGCCGGGCCGGGCTGGCGACGCGCACCGTAGGTTTGGTGCGAGTGGCAGGAACAGGCCGAGCCGGGCTGGCGACGCACACCGTAGGTTTGGTGCGTGTGGCAGGAACAGGCCGGGCCGGGCTGGCGACGCACACCGTAGGTTTGGTGCGTGGAGCAGGGACAGGCCGGGCTGGGCTGGCGACGCACCCCGTAGGCTTGGTGCGTGGAGCAGGGACAGGCCGGGCTGGGCTGGCGACGCAAACCGTAGGCTTGGTGCGTGGGGCAGGAACGGACCGGACCTGGCTGACGATGCGCCCCCCTGGCTTGGTGCGTGGAGCAGCAACGGACCGGACCGGGCTGACGATACGCACCCCTGGCTTGGTGCGTGGAGCCGGAACGGGCCTCACCGGACTGACGACTCGCACCCTTGGCTTGGTGCGTGGAGCAGCGACGGGCCTTACCAGGCTGACGACTCGCACCCCGGGCTTGGTGCGAGTAGCAGGAACGGGCTGAACCAGGCTGACGACTCGCACCCCTGGCTTGGTGCGAGTGGCAGGAACGGGCTGGACCAGGCTGACGACTCGCACCCCTGGCTTGGTGCGAGTGGCAGGAACGGGCTGGACCCGGCTGGCGACGCACACCGTAGGTTTGGTGCGAGTGGCAGGAACAGGCCGGGCCGGGCTGGCGACGCACACCGTAGGTTTGGTGCGTGGAGCAGGGACAGGCCGGACTGGGCTGGCGACTCGCACCCCTGGCTTGGTGCGAGTGGCAGGAACAGGCCGGGCCGGGCTGGCGACGCGCACCGTAGGTTTGGTGCGAGTGGCAGGAACAGGCCGGGCCGGGCTGGCGACGCGCACCGTAGGTTTGGTGCGAGTGGCAGGAACAGGCCGAGCCGGGCTGGCGACGCACACCGTAGGTTTGGTGCGAGTGGCAGGAACAGGCCGGGCCGGGCTGGCGACGCACACCGTAGGTTTGGTGCGTGGAGCAGGGACAGGCCGGGCTGGGCTGGCGACGCACCCCGTAGGCTTGGTGCGTGGAGCAGGGACAGGCCGGGCTGGGCTGGCGACGCACACCGTAGGCTTGGTGCGTGGAGCAGGAACAGGCCGGACCGGGCTGGCGACGCGCACCGTACACTTGGTGCGAGGGGCTGGAACAGGCCGGACCGTACTGGGGACACACACCACTGGCTCTACCTCGGGATCTGGAACGGGCCGGACCGGACTGGTAACACACCCCAGTACCTCTCGCCGTGCCTCTACACCTTCCCTCCCTGCTTTGACCAGTGGCCCCCGTAACCTGGTGGCCTTCTGAATCCGCCCCTTTTCTGCCTCCGTCAGCCCCGTCGTCCATGCCATGTGCCCCCCCCTAAATTTTTTTGGGGTTGCCTCTCGACCGTCCAACGCTGACACTGCTTACGCCGTTGCTCCTCTCTTCGTCGCCTCTCAATTGTCTCACTCCATGGCCGGCGATCCATCCCGGCCAGGATCTCCTCCCAGGTCCAGGACCCCTGCCCGTCCAAAATCTGTTCCCACGTCCAGGCTGCCGATTCCTGGACACGCTGCTTGGTCCTTTTATGGTGGGTTCTTCTGTCACGATCGTCTGGGTAAGGAGTAGACCAATGCGCAGCGTTGCAGGCAAACATTCTCATTTATTAGCGAAACGTAATCAAAACAACAAAAGACGGTAACGTGACAGTACACGGTTAAACACAACCAACACGAAACAAGAACCCACAAAACACAAAGGAAAACCGACAGTTTAAATATGGCTCCCAATCAGAGACAACCAGCAAACAGCTGACACTCGTTGCCTCTGATTGGGAGTCACTCAGGCCAACCTAGACATAGAACAACTAGACACTCAAACACAGCACATAAACACACGGAATCTACACACCCTGACTCAACATATAAAGTCCCCAGAGCCAGAGTGTGACACCTAATGAGAAGCACACACATCATATGCAATAGCATATATACAAAACCACGCTCACATTACAGCAATCTAGATATGTGTAAAGCTCTTTTGAAGGTGGACATGCTAGCTAGCTGCTGTGTGCATAAGTCCAGCTTGTTCCAGAGCAATGGTCCAAAGAACTGCAGACTGTTGTTCGCTGATGGTTGTGCCAGTAGGTGCGGGTCCCATTGGTCATAGGCTTTGGCTGCTGCTCTGGTGCGCCCACGGAGGATGGACTGAGACTCCCACCTGAACAGGTCTGACATGTATTCAGGCAGTTTGTGCTGTGTCGCCTTGATCCTGTGACAGACAGTGGTTCGATTCCAGCTTTTTGCAGAATAACTTCTGTCTTTATGTGTTCCCTCTGTGAATGCCCTGTCATGATACAAGGAGCCCTGTTGATTATACGCTGTAACTGGTTAAGACCTGTCTTATTGCACTGATGTAGGGTGCGAAGCCATACTGTGGCACAATACTCCAGGTGAGTTGTTATCATGGTGTGGTAGATTGTCAGGAGGATGTCCTTGGAGATGAAGTCCCTCGCCATTTTTAGAGCACCAAGCTCAGACAGCAGTTTCACTGTGACCAGGCTGGCATGTTCAGTCCAGTGTAGGTGTGGGTCCAACTTCATCCCCAGTTACTTTATGGCCTTTACTTGTTCATAAGTGTTTTATCTGTCTGTTATTGTGACACTTTTGCCTATGTGTCTCAGCTGTTGTGGGTTGTGCCAAACAGCATTGCCTTTTTACTACGCTTTGCTCCCTCTGAGGATCTTGATATAACTTGTTGGTAAGAAAAAGGGGGTGGTGGTCTGTTTGTATATAAATATAGTGTGTGAGAAGTCAGCTGGATTTGCTGCAGATTGCCCTCAGTCTTAGGAGATATATCCAGAGTGTGTCTCTCACTAGCTCTGTTTTATATAGTTCAAACCTGGGAAAACATTGATGCAGAGTTCAAACAGAAGGGATTTCAAAAAGGTAGAACTGATTTTGGACCAGTTTTGGTAGAACAGGTAGAACTCTTATGGACCAGTTTTGCAATGGTTGGGTTTTGGTTTGGTCAAGCCTGGATTTGAGTTGAGATCAACCGACATGAGATGTGAGTTTGAACTGAAGACAAGTTAAGTTGGAGGTCCAAGTTGGACATAAGGGGACACAGGATCCACAGGTTTAGCTCAGATAGACAGAGACAGACAGACGGACAGACTGACAGAGACCTAGATGGAGACCTAGACGGTTCATCGGGCTTGATATATGACTGCGTACAGTCAGTATATAGGTCAGGAGGATCTGACTTCAGTTTAGACAAGGAGTAGCTATCATTAGTTTATTTCGGACAAGGGAGATACGAGCCTGGGCTGCAGACTGATCCCTGTGAAGTTTATGGATCTGAGCGAGATAGAGGGAGAGAGCGATCTGATTGTCTGGAGGCAGTATGGAAAGATAAACCGTCCCTGATCTCTCTCTCTTTCCAGCAGCTACCTCCATCTCCCGCTCACCTCTGTGGCTTTGCAGACCGTCATTCCGACAGCACGCACCTCATCAGGCAACGGGACTTGACCTTTCCCTCTGATTTCTGGGACATTAACTCTGTTGCCCAGCGGAGGGAGGGGGGCGGGGGGGGGGGGGGGGGGGTCAACAGCCCTCACCTCCCCCTGGCCGCCCAGCTACTCCCCAGAGTTCCCATTACCAGGTAATAGCCCCAGCCCTGGGGTGATGAGAATGAAAATGTGAGAGGGTTTAGGACAAGGAGCAGTGGAAAACGAGGAGAAATGATGTCAGAGGAATCGCGGCCACCGATTGGAGTGGAGATTCCAGAGGAGCCTATAAAATGGGGAAAGTCAACACAAGGAACAAGTGAACGGAGAGAAAAGTTGGAACGTGAGAAATTCCAGGAACTTTTCAACATCCTCTCTCTCCTCCTGTGTGTATGTGTGTGTTCCAGACTGTCTATAACAAAAGGTGAGTACAATATAACTTACGGGGCTCTCTGTGCACAAGTGGGTGCTCAGACATGCATGGATATATGTATGCATGAATGCATGGATGTAGCGCAGGTGTGTACACTCTTAGAAAAAAAGATGCTATCTATATCCAAAAAGGGTTCTTTGGCTGTCCCTATAGGAGAACCCTTTGAAAAAAAACTTTGGGTTGCAGGTAGAACCGTTTTGGGTTCCATGTAGAACCCTTTCCACAGAGGGTCCTACGTGGAACCCAAAATAGTTCTACCTGGAACCAAAAAGGGTTCTCCTAAGGGACAGCTGCAGAATCCTTTTTTTAAGAGTGTATGTTCATCACACCTATGTGTATGTGTGCAGGTGTTCTTGAGAGATGTTAATGTGTGCAGTATAGAATACAGCAGAAGAAAGATGAGTGATGATGAGTGACAGTTTTATTGAGTGGTGGTTGTAAACCTTGCATAAGTTCACAATTAGTGAGAAAATTAGTTTGATCTGTATTTTTGTGAATGGAAGAATTTGAGTGTTTTGTGTGTGCGTAAAGAATGTTTGTGACGTATGGAGAGTGTGAGTGTGTCTTTGTGAGAATGTTGGAGTACGTACATTGGGAAGAGTGCATGTGATGGGTGGAGGTGTTTATTTTTGGGAATGGAAAATGCTAAAATTAGCTGATGTTGCTGGACAATACCCTTTGCCAGTCAAGTCTAAAACATACACTGTGAGAACACGACATGGTTTCAAACAGTACCACTTGATTTTACAGTCTGAGAAAGGTGTTCCAAAAGGTATTCTATGGACCAATAGAGAAATTCAGTTATTTTGACCAGCTTTTCGGTTGATTTACTGCTTGGTCATTTGGACCGGGATGCAAGCAGTGGTGTGAAGTACTTAAGTAAAAAATACTTTAAAGTACTACTTAAGTAGTTATTTGGGGTATCTGTACTTTACTTTACTATTTATATTTTTGAAAACTTTTACTTTTACTTCACTAGATTCCTAAAGAAAATATTTTACTTTTTACTCCAAAGATTTTCCCTGACAACCAAAAGTACTCGTTACATTTTGAATGCTTAGCAGGTAAGGGAAATGGTCAAATTCACTTATCAAGAGAACACACGGTCAACCCTACTGTCTCTGGCGGACTCACTAAACACAAATGCATATTTTGTAAATAATGTCTGAGTGTTGGAGTGTGCCCCTGGGTATCCATACATTTGAAAAACAAGAAAATGGTGTTCCTCTGTGGAGATGGGAAGAAGTTTGGAACCACCAAGACTCTAACTAGAGCTGGCCACCCGGCCAAACTGAGCAATCGGGGGAGAAGGGCCTTGATCTGGGAGGTGACCAAGAACCCAATGGTCACTCTGACAGAGCACCAGAGTTCCTCTGTGGAGATGGGAGAACCTTCCAGATGGACAACCATCTCTTTAGCAATCCACTAATTAGGCCTTTATGGTAGAGTGGCCAGACGGAAGCCACTCCTCAGTAAAAGGCACATGACAGCCCGCTTGGAGTTTGCCAAAAGGCACCTAAAGACTCTCAGACCATGAGAGCATGGTAGAGCATGGCACTTGCAACGCCAGGGTTGTGGGTTTGATTCCCATGGGGGGCCAGTATGGGAACAAAAAAATGTATGCACTCACTAACTGTAAGTCGCTCTGGATAAGAGCGTCTGCTAAATGACAAAAATGTAAAATGTAAATGATGAAACCAAGATTGAATGCCAAGCTTCATGTCTGGTGGAAACCTAGCGCCATCCCTACGGTGAAGCATGGTGGTTGCAGCTAGCTCTGTTTTATATATTGTTCAGATGGGATAAGGCTGTAGGGATGTTTTTCAGGAGCAGGGACTGGGAGACTAGTCAGGATCGAGGCAAAGATGAACGGAGCACAGAGAGATCCTTGATGAAAACCTGCTCCAGAGCACTCAGGACCACAGACTGGGGCGAAGGTTCACCTTCCAACAGGACAACGATCCTAAGCACACAGCCAAGACAACGCAGGAGTGGCTTCGGGACAAGTCTCTGAATGTCCTTGAGTGGCCCAGCCAGAGCCCGGACTTGAACCTGATCTAACATCTCTGGAGAGACCTGAAGATAACTGTGCAGCAACGCTCCCCATCTATCCTGACAGAGCTTGAGAGGATCTGCAGAGAAGAATTGGAGAAACTCCCCAAATACAGGTGTGCTAAGCTTGTAGCGTCATACCCAAGAAGACTCGATGATGTAATCGTATATTTTAAAAAATATTTAAAAACCTGTTTTGGCTTTGTCATTATGGGGTATTGTGTGTAGATTCATGAGGGGGAAAAACGATTTAATCAATGTTATAATAAGGCTGTAACGTAACAAAATTTGGAAAAAGTCAAGGGGTCTGAATACTTTCCGAAGGCAAGTACCCTCGTTACAGGTACTTTTTAGCTTAAGTTTATTTAGTAAATACTTTCTTAACTCTATTTTTCTTAAAACTGCATTGTTGGTTAAGGCTTTGCAAGTAAGCATTTCACGGTAAGGTCTGCACCTGTTTTATTCAGTGCAATACATTTTGATTTAATTTGATTAATATAAGGAATTGTGAATTATTTATACTTTTACTTTTGATACTTAAGTACATTTTAGCAATTACATTTACTTTCAAAACTTAAGTATATTTAAAATCAAATACTTTTAGACTTGAGTAACTTTCTATTAAGGTTTCTATACTTTTACTCAAGTATGACAATGGGGTACTTTTTCCACCACTGGATGCTCTAGAGGTGGACTGATAACATGATACACTAGGTATCGATAGATATAGATTAGATAAATATTATTTTATACCCAGGTATGGAACTATGTTTTGCTTTAAAAAGTACATTAAATGATGGGAGTGTATATCATCAAATCACATCAAATCAAATGTTATTGGTCACATACACACGTTTAGCAGATGTTATTGCGGGTGTAGCGAAATGCTTGTGTTTCTAGCTCCGACAGTGCAGTTATATCTAACAAGTAATATCTAACAATTTCACAACATATACCCAATACACACAAATCTAAGTAAAGCAATGGAATTAAGAATATATAAATAAATATATGGACGAGCAATGACAGAGCGGCATAGACTAAGATTTTAATTTTTATTTTATTTCACCTTTATTTAACCAGGTAAGCCAGTTGAGAACAGGTTCTCATTTACAACTGCGACCTGGCCAAGATAAAGCAAAGTAGTGCAATAAAAACAACAGAGTTACATATGGGGTAAAAAAAAAACATAAAGTCAGAAATACAACAGAAAATATATATACCGTGTGTGCAAATGTAGCAAGTTATGGAGGTAAGGCAATAAATAGGCTATAGTGCAGAATAATTACAATAGTATTAACACTGGAATGCTAGATGTGCAAGAGATTATGTGCAAATAGAGATACTGGGGTGCTAAAGAGCAAAATAAATAACAATATAGGGATGAGGTAGTTGGGTGGGCTAATTTCGGATGGGCTGTGTACAGGTGCAGTGATCGGTAAGGTGCTCTGACAACTGATGCTTAAAGTTATTGAGGGAGATAAGAGTCTCCAGCTTCAGAGATTTTTGCAATTCGTTCCAGTCATTGGCAGCAGAGAACTGGAAGGAATGGCGGCCAAAGGAGGTGTTGGCTTTGGGAATGACCAGTGAGATATACCTGCTGGAGCGCAGACTACGGGTGGGTGCTGCTATGGTGACCAATGAGCTAAGATAAGGCGGGGATTTGCCTAGCAGTGATTTATAGATGGCCTGGAGCCAGTGGGTTTGACGACGAACATGTAGTGAGGACCAGCCAACAAGAGCGTACAGGTCACAGTGGTGGGTAGTGTATGGGGCTTTGGAGACAAAACGGATGGCACTGTGATAGACTACATCCAATTTGCTGAGTAGAGAGGCTATTTTGTAAATTACATCGCCGAAGTCAAGGATCGGTAGGATAGTCAGTTTTACGAGGGCATGTTTGGCAGCATGAGTGAAGGAGGCTTTATTGCGAAATAGGAAGCCGATTCTAGATTTAACTTTGGATTGGAGATTCTTTATGTGAGTCTGGAAGTTGAGTTTACAGTCTAACCAGACACCTAGGTATTTGTAGTTGTCCACATACTCTAGGTCAGACCCGTCGAGAGTGGTGATTCTAGTCGGGTGGGCGGGTGCCAGCAGCGTTCGATTGAAAGATACAGTAGAATATTATACAATACAGTATACACATATGAGATGAGTAATGCAAGATATGTAAACATTATTAAAGTAACTAGTGTTCAATTTATTAAAGTGGCCAGCAATTTCTAATCTATGTATATAGAGAGCAGCCTCTAATGTGCTAGTGAAGGCTATTTAACAGTCTGATGTCCTTGAGATAGAAGCTGTTTTTCAGTCTCTCATCCCATTTCAGTTTGTCGGTGATGTGTATGCCGATGAACTTGAAGCTTTCCACCTTCTCCACTGTGGTCCCGTCGATGTGGATAGGGTGGTACTCCCTCTGAATGTTCCTGAAGTCCACGATCATCTCCTTTGTTTTGTTGATGTTGAGTGAGAGGTTATTTTCCTGGCACCACACTCCCACAGCCCTCACCTCCTCCCTGTAGGCTGACTCGTCATTGTTGGTAATCAAGCCTACTACTGTTATGTCGTCTGCAAACTTGATGATTGAGTTGGAGGCGTGCTTGGCCACGCAGTCATGGGTGAACAGGGAGTACAGAAGGGGGCTGAGCACACACCCTTGTGGGGCCCCAGTGTTGAGGATCAGCGAAGTGGAGGTGTTGTTTCCTACCTTCACCACCTGCGGGGGGCCCATTATGAAGTCCAGGACCCAGTTGCACAGGGCGGCGTTCAGACCCAGGGCCTCGACCTTAATGATGAGCTTGGTGTTGAATGCTGAGCTATAGTCAATGAACAGCATTCTTACATACAGTGAGGGAAAAAAGTATTTGATCCCCTGCTGATTTTGTACATTTGCCTACTGACAAAGAAATGATCAGTCTATAATTTTAATGGTAGGTTTATTTGAACAGTGAGAGACAGAACAACAACAAGTATTTGACCCCCTCTCAATCAGAAAGATTTCTGGCTCCCAGGTGTCTTTTATACAGGTAATGAGCTGAGATTAGGAGCACACTCTTAAAGGGAGTGCTCCTAATCTCAGTTTGTTACCTGTATAAAAGACACCTGTCCACAGAAGCAATCAATCAATCAGATTCCAAACTCTCCACCATGGCCAAGACCAAAGAGCTCTCCAAGAATGTCAGGGACAAGATTGTAGACCTACACAAGGCTGGAATGGTCTACAAGACCATCGCCAAGCAGTTTAGTGAGAAGGTAATGCGATTATTCGCAAATGGAAGAAACACAAAAGAACTGTCAATCTCCCTCGGCCTGGGGCTCCATACAAGATCTCACCACGTGGAGTTGCAATGATCATGAGAACGGTGAGGAATCAGCCCAGAACTACACGGGAGGATCTTGTCAATGATCTCAAGGCAGCTGGGACCATAGTCACCAAGAAAACAATTGTTAACACACTACGCCGTGAAGGACTGAAATCCTGCAGCGCCTGCAAGGTCCCCCTGCTCAAGAAAGCACATATACAGGCCCGTCTGAAGTTTGCCAATGAACATCTGAATGATTCAGAGGAGAACTGGGTGAAAGTGTTGTGGTCAGATGAGACCAAAATCGAGCTCTTGGCATCAACTCAACTGGCCGTGTTTGGAGGAGGAGAAATGCTGCCTATGACCCCAAGAACACCATCCCCACCATGTAGGTGGAAACATTTTGGGGGTTTTTCTGCTAAGGGGACAGGACAACTTCACTGCATCAAAGGGACGATGGACGGGGCCATATACCGTCAAATCTTGGGTGAGAACCTCCTTCCCTCAGCCAGGGCATTGAAAAGGGGTCGTGGATGGGTATTCCAGCATGACAATGACCCAAAACACACGGCCAAGGCAACAAAGGAGTGGCTCAAGAAGAAGCACATTAAGGTCCTGGAGTGGCCTAGCCAGTCTCCAGACCTTAATCCCATAGAAAATCTGTGGAGGGAGCTGAAGGTTCGAGTTACGAACACATTGCACTAAGTTTTATAGACTTGACACTTTGCCAAAGTTTTAAAAAATTGCATTGTTTAAAAGGAGTGCAAGGTCGAATTGAGTTTGTGCACACGCGCACATTACAGAAGAGGCGTTCCCTAACGGAAATATGCAAATACATGCTACAACGCGCAAATACGATCTAGCTAACTCGTGCTTTGCTTTGTCCACTTCCTTGCTTGTTCTGCCCACTATGCTTCATTTGCTCCAACTGTAAATGACCCAGATATACTATCTTGGGTTAGTTATAAATATACATATCTTTGGTACCTTGTACCGAGTCAATGTGCAGGGGTACGAGGTAGTTGAGGTATTATGTGGAGTAGCAACAGCGTGTGTGGAAAGTGTGAAAGTGTGTGTGTGTGTGCGTGCGTGTGGCGTCAATTTGCATGTGTGTGTGAGCCAGTGGCGGTTGGTGCCGTTTAAGATGAGGGAGGATGGTAAAAAAATGTATGAGCATGGCCTTATTTCTCTTACAGCATATTGGATGACTGTCATTTATATTCCATTCACCCAGCTCAATGTAACATCGATAGGCTTAGGCTACTACATGATACTCAAATTTTCCCTATACCATCATGAGGTTACTACAACCTAGCCTATGAATGAAGGTTTACAACGTAGGTGCACAGGACGAGAGAAAGATTTGAGTAATTAAGGTGACAGACAGTGACACATTCAATACCGCCTTGCACACTCTTGCCTGCATCTAGCTGATCTAGGGTGTAATCATTAGTCCAACAGTTGCAAACAGTTTCTATTAGACAAATTTAGGTATGTGTATCCCTGTTTTCTTACCGTTTGCTTCCGTTTAAGAAATGCTTTTCAACAGAATCGGTGGAATGAATACACCCCTGATCACACGCAAACACTGTTCACCTTCATAGCAGCCACATACAAACAGCATGATCACTTTGCTCGTTGTATAATTCCTTCTCGCATCTACGCGCTCTCCTCCTCTCAACTTTTCCCTTCGCTTGTGGACTTCAGTGCCCAACACACCAGCTTTCTGTGACCAGGCGCAACAACGTTTCCAAGCCAAACCTTCACATCAAAACCGCTAACCTCTACAAACAGCCTACATCGTTGTCACTATATTAGCTGACGTCATAGTCAACATTAGTATAACCGCTACAATCATGCAGTACAGTGTACATTCAGCAAGCAGTTACACCGGCGGGACCCGGTGGCAATAAATTAATATAACCAATTGACTTGACTTGGACGGGTTACAGTGATGGATAGCCATAGCCAGCTAGCTAACATAGTATCCCTCTGTTTGAGCCGGGTGTTTGAGTAGGCTAAACTAAATTTAGTTAGCTGCATTCGCTAGCTAAGAAAGTGAACGTGAAAAAAAATACAAGGAAATATAGCTAGCTCTCTCTCTCTCTTGCTTTTCCTTAATTTTTTTTTATAAATTAAAACTGTTCAACTACTGTCTTTCCCTCTCTTTGAGTCAACTACTCACCACATTTTATGGACTGCAGTGCTAGCTAGCTGTAGCTTATGCGTTCAGTACTAGATTAATTCTCTGATTCTTTGATTGGGTGAACAACATGTCAGTTCATGCTGCAAGAGCTCTGATAGGTTGTAGGACATCCTCCAGAAGTTGTCATAATTACTGTAAATCTATGGAAGGGGGTGAGCCTCCTCGATTTTGTATTGAAGTCAATGTACCCAGAGGAGGACGGAAACTAGCTGTCCTCCGGCTACATCATGGCGCTAACCTACAGAGTGCTGTTGAGGCTACTGTAGACCTTCATTGCAAAACAGTGTGTTTTAATAAATGTTTTGGTGAGGGGGAGGATAACTTTCTTAATGTTTCACTATTTAAATTGTTCTGAAATTCACTGAGGAGGATGGTCCTCCCATTCCTCCTCTGAGGAGCCTCCACTGGTGTGAGCGGTGTGTGTACGTGTGTGTTGGAGTGCCAGTGTAAGTATGTGTGAATGTGTGCATAGAGTCAGTGCAAATAGTCCAGGTAGCCATTTCATTAATTGTTCAGCAGTCTTATGGCTTTGGGGGTAGAAGCTGTTCAGGAGCCTTTTGGTCCCAGAATTGGTGCTCTGGTACGTAGCAAAGTGAACAGTCTATGGCTTGAGGGGCTGATGTCTATGAAAATAATTTTCCTCTGACACGGCCTGGTATAAAGGGCCTGGATGTCAGGGAACTCGGGCCCAGTGATGTACTGGGCAGTTTGCACAATCCTCTGTAGTGCCTTGCAATCGAGGGCGGTTCAGTTGCCATACCAAGCTGTGATGCAGCCAGTCAAGATGCTCTCAATGGTGCAGCTGTAGAACTTTTTGAGGATCTGAGGGGCCATGCCAAATCTTTTCAACCTCCTGAGGGGTAAGAGGCGTTGTCATGCCTTCTTCACGAATGTGCTGGTGTGAGTGGACCATGTTAAGTCCTTAGCTCTCGACCCGCCCCACTACAGCCCTGTCGATGTGTATAGTGGTGTGCTTGCCCCTCCATTTCCTGTAGTCCTCGATCAGCTACTTGCTGACATTGAGGGAGAGGTTGTTGTCCTGGCACCACACTGTCAAGTCTCTGACCTCCTCCCTATAGACTGTCTCATTGTCGTCAGTGATCAGGCCTACCACGAGCTTGGTAAAGAGCTTAGAGGTGACTATGGTGTTGAATGCTGAGCTGTCACAGGGGATTAATGACAGAATGTTAACATTCTGTGAAATCAAAAGTTGTTTTGATTTGACTAAACCTACATACTGTGTGATAATTGTACTACATACCATTTAGAATGTACTGTTCATTAAAAATGTATATAACATACTAGGCTCATCCATAATGCAAAGGCATTATCTACTGAGCAAGTGTTGTTCCCCACCGTTCAGCCTGGTCTCAGAGCAAAACATATTATATGTAACTAAAATCCGTGCCACTCCATTTAGTATGATGCTTTACTTTAAGTTAGGTTACATTAAATTGGTGTATGTAAATCTGGGACACTGAAATTAGTATGATATGTTATATTTGGTATGACAGTAGGTTACTTAAAACCTCTAAAAGTCTAAGTCGGGGGTGGGGGGATTGTTTTAAGATGGTCATACCATGGAACATTTAGCTATTTGATTTGGAAATTTAGGACCCCTTAGGTATAGCCCGTAGGACCCCTTTAGGTATAGCTCATAGAAACACATTGGATAACACATTCATAAATGGCAAAAAAGACAGTCCAAAAATAAATCATAAAGAACAAGGCTTTGAATTGTCTGTCCTATAGATATAAGAAAGCTACCTCCATACTTCCATTCACTTGTATGTGTTACCTTCAGACGAGTCCCATTACACTTGTGGGGGTCGTAGAGCAAAACTGTCACGGTTTCGGCCGAGGCTGCTCCTCTTCCTTGTTCGGGCAGGCTTCGGCGGTCGTCGTCTCCGGAGTACTAGCTGCCACCGTTCTATGTTTCATGTTCTTTTGGTTTTGTCTGTTCATAACACCTGTCCCTTATTTGTGTCTTAATTGTTCCCTTATTTAGTTCGTGTGTTTGGGTCAGGTGTTATGCGTGATTGTTCATTGTCAGCCTGCCTCTGTGAAGTTTATATTATTCTCTCGTTGTGTTTTCCCGAGAGCTCGCACTGCGTGCGCTTTTCTTGTTTTGACGCACTGTGTGTTTTGTGCGTAATTGTGTGCGCCACCCGGTTGGGTTGGCGACTCCTTGTTCTCGTTGCTTTGGGAACATTACTAAAGAGGGTTGAAGTCATCCTGGGTCCTGCGCTTGATTCCTTCCACTCACCTACACACACCACTCTGACAGAATCACGCATCAATCATGGAATCAGCAGGAGCGACCACGCCGACAGCCGAGATGGCTGAACGTCTTCGTGGTCAGGAGGACCGCATCAATCAGGTCTGTCACGCCCTGGAGGGGGTGATGAATACTCTGCACCGATGGGAGACCAGCGGGGTTCCCACACCTCCACGAACCGAACCAGCCCCATCGGTCAGCCCCCCTGTCTCATCTCCGGAACCTAGTGGGATTCGGCTCTCGCTCCCGAGGGCGTACGACGGCTCCACTGCCGGGTGTCAAGGATTCCTGCTGCAGGTGGAGCTCTACCTCGCCACCGTACACCCGGCGCCCTCGGGACACGAGAGCGTCTCAGCCCTCATCTCCTGTCTCACCGGCAAGGCGTTGGAGTGGGCCAACGCCGAGTGGAGGAGAATGGACGCCGCTACCACGAACTATGCGGAGTTCTCCCGCCGCTTCCGTGCTGTGTTCGACCATCCACCGGAAGGGAAGGCGGCGGGGGAACGTCTATTCTACCTCCGACAGGGGATGAGGAGCGCCCAGGACTTTGCCTTAGAGTTTCGGACCCTAGCGGCTGATGCAGGGTGGAATGAGCGGGCCCATATCGACCATTTCCGCTGCAGCCTCCGGGAAGACGTCCAGCGAGAGTTGGCGTGCAGGGACACGTCGTTGACGTTCGACCAGCTGGTCGACATGGCCATCCGGCTGGATACCCTGCTCGCCACCCGTGGGCGTCCCGGAAGGGGGGGTTCGCCCATTCCACTCTCCAGCACCTCCGAGCCGAGCCCTATGGAGCTCGGAGGTGCTGGCGCTAGGGAACGGAGGAGGAGGAGCCCGAGGGGACCCGGGCCTTGCACCAACTGTGGTCGTGGAGGGCACACCACGGCTAGGTGTTGGGGCGGGTCCTCCAGTGAGGGAGATGGCAGGTCACGCATTGGGGGGTCCCCCCAGGTGAGTAGGCGCCCTGCTTACCCAGAGCTTTCTGTCGTGCACCTAACCTTGCCTGTTTGTTTCCCACAGGTTGCACCTCGTTCCCAGCATAAGGCGCTGGTAGATTCAGGCGCAGCTGGGAATTTTGTAGATCGCCAGTTCTGTATAGAGTTAGGGATTCCCCTCCTTCCAGTGGATAAGCCTTTCCCCGTCCATGCCCTAGATAGCCGTCCGTTAGGGTCTGGGTTGATTAGGGAAGTCACAGCACCCATTCAGATGACGGCGCAGGAGGGTCATGAGGAGAGAATTCAGCTCTATCTGATTGACTCTCCTGCGTATCCGGTAGTGCTGGGTCTTCCCTGGTTGATGACTCATGACCCTATTATTAGGTGGCGAGAGAAAGCTCTTAAAGGGTGGTCTGCTCAATGTGAGGGGCGGTGTCTGGGTGTTTCCATAGGGGCGACCTCGGTGGAGAGTCCGAATCTAATGCCAGCACTGCAGATTCCCCCCGAGTATGAGGATTTGGCACTGGCGTTCAGTAAGACCAGGGCGGCGCAGCTGCCGCCTCATAGACGGGGGGATTGTGCGATAGATCTCCAGTCAGGAGCAGCTCTCCCGCGGAGCCATGTGTATCCCTTGTCTCAAGAGGAGAGAAAGGCTATGGAGACATACATCTCTGAGTCTCTTAGACAGGGATACATACGGGCCTCCGTTTCACCCGCTTCCTCAAGTTTCTTTTTTGTGAAGAAAAAGGATGGAGGTCTGCGCCCGTGTATTGATTACCGCGGTCTCAATCAGATCACAGTGAAGTACAGCTATCCACTTCCTCTGATTGCGACTATGACGGAGTCACTGCACGGTGCGCGGTTCTTTACAAAATTGGATCTTAGGAGCGCATATAACTTGGTACGCATTCGAGAGGGCGATGAATGGAAGACAGCGTTTAGCACGACTTCCGGACACTACGAGTATCTAGTCATGCCATATGGGTTGATGAATGCTCCCTCAGTCTTCCAATCCTTCGTCGATGAGATTTTCCGGGACATGCAGGGACAGGGAGTAGTTGTGTACATCGACGACATTCTGGTGTATAGTCCTACCCGTGCTGAGCATGTAGCCCTGGTGCGCCGAGTATTGAGGAGGCTGTTGGAGCATGACCTATATGTCAAGGCAGAGAAATGTCTGTTTTTCCAGAAGTCGGTCTCCTTTCTGGGTTACCAGTTATCTGCGTCAGGGGTGAAGATGGAGGTAGACCGGGTGTCAGCTGTGCGTAATTGGCAGATCCCAACCACTGTGAAGGAGGTGCAACGGTTCTTGGGTTTTGCGAATTATTACCGGAGGTTTATCCGGGGTTTTGGACAGGTGGCAGCTCCCATAACGTCTCTGTTAAAGGGGGGTCCGGTGCGCTTGCGGTGGTCAGCTGAGGCGGACAGGGCATTTGGGAGACTAAAGGACCTGTTTACCTCGGCGCCGGTGTTGGCGCATCCGGATCCCTCTTTACCGTTCCAAGTAGAGGTGGACGCGTCAGAAGCCGGGATAGGGGCCGTTCTTTCCCAGCGTTCTGGCACTCCACCTAAACTCCGTCCCTGTGCGTTCTACTCTAAGAAGCTCAGTCCGGCGGAGCGGAATTATGACGTAGGAGACAGGGAGCTGTTAGCCGTGGTACAGGCCCTAAAGGTGTGGAGGCATTGGCTCGAGGGGGCTCAACACCCTTTCCTCATTCTAACTGACCATCGTAACCTGGAGTACATCCGGGCAGCTAGGAGACTGAATCCTCGCCAGGCTCGCTGGACTATGTTCCTAGCCCGGTTTGTGTTTAAGATCACATACATCCCTGGGTCCCAGAACGGGAAGGCAGATGCTCTGTCTCGGCGGTATGACGCAGAGGAGAGGTCAGTTGAGTCCACGCCCATACTACCGGAGTCTTGTCTGGTTGCTCCGGTGGTGTGGGAGGTTGATGGTGAGATCGAGCGGGCGTTACGCACCGACCCGAGTCCTCCACAGTGTCCTGTGGGTCGGACGTACGTTCCGCTCGAGGTACGCGATCGCCTCATTTGTTGGGCTCATACGTCCCCCTCCTCTGGCCATCCGGGTATCGGCCGGACAGTGCACTGCCTTAGCACGAAGTACTGGTGGCCAACGTTAGCTAGGGATGTGAGGATTTATGTCTCCTCCTGTTCGGTGTGTGCCCAGTGTAAGGCACCCAGACATTTGCCCAGGGGTAAGTTACAACCCCTGCCTATTCCACAACGACCCTGGTCCCACCTCTCGGTGGATTTTGTTACCGACCTTCCCCCCTCACAGGGGAATACTACCATCCTGGTCGTTGTGGATCGGTTCTCAAAGGCCTGTCGTCTCCTTCCCATGCCGGGTCTACCCACTGCCCTACAGACCGCTGAGGCTCTGTTCACCCATGTCTTCCGGCATTACGGGGTACCCGAGGATATAGTGTCTGACCGAGGCCCCCAGTTCACCTCTAGAGTGTGGAGAGCATTTATGGAACGGTTGGGGGTTTCGGTAAGCCTTACCTCGGGGTACCACCCGGAGAGTAATGGGCAGGTTGAACGTGTCAACCAGGATGTGGGTAGGTTTCTGAGGTCATACTGTCAGGGCCGGCCGGAGGAGTGGGCAAGATATGTGCCCTGGGCCGAGATGGCACAGAACTCTCTTCGCCACTCCTCCACCCAACTAACCCCTTTTCAGTGTGTGTTAGGGTACCAGCCGGTTCTGGCACCATGGCATGAGAGCCAGATCGAGGCCCCCGCTGTGGATGAGTGGGTGCGGCGCTCGGAGGAGACGTGGGACGCTGCACACGTCCATCTGCAGCGTGCCATACGTCGACAGAAGACGAGCGCCGACCTACACCGCAGTGAGGGGCCAGTGTACGCACCTGGAGATCGAGTCTGGCTCTCAACCAGAAACCTGCCCCTCCGCCTGCCCTGCCGGAAGCTGGGTCGGCGGTTTGTGGGGCCATTTAAAGTCCTGAGGAGATTGAACGAGGTGAGTTATAGGTTAGAACTACCTGTTGATTACAAAAATATTAACCCCTCGTTCCATGTGTCTCTCCTCAGGCCGGTGGTAGCTGGTCCACTCCAGGACTTTGAGATTGAGGAGACTCCTCCGCCCCCGTTGGACATCGAGGGGGCTCCGGCGTACACCGTGAGGTCCATCCTGGACTCGAGACGCCGGATGGGGGGTCTTCAATATCTCGTGGAGTGGGAGGGGTACGGCCCGGAGGAGCGGTGCTGGGTGCCAAGGAGGGACGTATTAGACCAGTCCCTACTGACCGATTTCCATCGGGGTCATCCTGCGCGCCCTGCTCCGCGTCGTCCGGGTCGTCCCCGAGCTCCGGGTCGGCGCACGGCTGGAGCCGCGCGTCAAGGGGGGGGTACTGTCACGGTTTCGGCCGAGGCTGCTCCTCTTCCTTGTTCGGGCAGGCTTCGGCGGTCGTCGTCTCCGGAGTACTAGCTGCCACCGTTCTATGTTTCATGTTCTTTTGGTTTTGTCTGTTCATAACACCTGTCCCTTATTTGTGTCTTAATTGTTCCCTTATTTAGTTCGTGTGTTTGGGTCAGGTGTTATGCGTGATTGTTCATTGTCAGCCTGCCTCTGTGAAGTTTATATTATTCTCTCGTTGTGTTTTCCCGAGAGCTCGCACTGCGTGCGCTTTTCTTGTTTTGACGCACTGTGTGTTTTGTGCGTAATTGTGTGCGCCACCCGGTTGGGTTGGCGACTCCTTGTTCTCGTTGCTTTGGGAACATTACTAAAGACGGTTGAAGTCATCCTGGGTCCTGCGCTTGATTCCTTCCACTCACCTACACACACCACTCTGACAAAAACAGAGAACACCATCATGTTCATGAGAGTCTCCCCTTTCCACAGCAGCATATTAGTTTGTAGGCCAAACTGTCAGGGTGGATAGGTAGCCATATAACGCAAACGTCTAGGTTGCGTGTTCAAATCTCATCATTAACAGTTTTAGCTAATTAGCAACTTTGCAACTTCTTACTACTTTTTAGCTACTACTTAGCATGTTAGCTAACCCTTCCCCTAACCCTAACCATTTAACCCTAACCTTAACCCTAACCTTAACCCTTAAGTTAACCCCTAACCTAATGTAGCATATCATACTAAAGCAGTCAAACGTAATATTTGTATTTGTATTTATTATGGATCCTCATTAGGGATGTCAAGGCAGCAGCTACTCTTCCTGGGGTCCAGCAAAATTAAGGCAGTTATATAAAATTTTAAAAACATTACAATACATTTCACAACACACTAAGTGTGTGCCTTCGGGCCATTACTCTACTACTACATATATACAACACGAAATCCATGTGTAATTGTGTGTATAGTGCGTATGTTATCATGTGTGTGTATTCGTGTGTCTGTGCCTGTGTGTGTATCTCTTCACAGTCCCTGCTGTTCCATAAGGTGTATTTTTTATCTGTTTTTAAATCTGATTTTACTGCTAGCATGAGTTACTTGATGTGGAATAGAGTTCCATATAGTCATGGCTCTATGTAGTATTGGAATTGGGGACTGTGAAGAGACCTCTGGTGGCATGTCTTGTGGGGTATGCATGGGTGACTGAGCTTTGTGTTAGTAGTTTAAACAGACAGCTCGGTGCATTCAACATGTCAATACTTCTCACAAACAAATAGTGATGAAGTCAATCTCTCCTCTACTTTGAGCAAGGATAGATTGATATTAATGTTAGCTCTCTGTGTACATTTAAGGGCCACCCGTGCTGCCCTGTTCTGGGCCAATTGTAATTCTCCTAAGTCCTTCTTTATGGCACCTGACCACACGATTGGACAGTAGTCCAGGTGCTACAAAACAAGGGCCTGTAGGACCTGCCTTGTTGATAGCATTGTTAAGAAGGCAGAGCATCTGATTATTACAGGTCCCCTATCTTAGCTACTGTTGCATCAATATGTTTTGATCATGAACGTTTACAATCCATGGTTACTCCAAGTAGTTTAGTCTCCTCAACATGCTCAATTTCCACATTATTCATGACAAGATTTACATAGCTGAGGTTTAGTGAATGATTTGCCCCAAATACAATGCTTTTAGTTTTTGAAATATTTAGGACTAACCTATTTCTTGCCACCCATTCTGAAACTGACTGCAGCTCTTTGTTAAGTGTTGCTGTGATTTCACTTGCTGTGGTAGCTGACATGTATAGTGTTGAGTCATCAGTGGTGTAAAGTACTTAAGTAGAAATACTTTGAAGTACTACTTAAGTAGTATTTTGGGGTATCTGTACTTTACTATTTATATTTTTGACAACTTTAGATTTTACTTCACTACATTCCTAAAGAAAGTTATATACTTTTTACTCCATACATTTTCCCTGACACCCAAAAGTACTCGTTACATTTTGAATGCTTAGCATGACAGCAATGGTCCAATTCACGCACTTATCAAGAGAACATCCTGTCACACCCTGGCTCGGGGACTCATTATGTTGAGCCAGGGTGTGTTCATTCTATGTTTTCTGTTTCTTTGGTGGGTGTTCTAGGTGGTTTATTTTCTATGTTTGCCGGTGTGACTCCCAATCAGAGGCAAACGAGTGTCAGCTGTCGGCTGTTTGTCTCTGATTGGGAGCCATATTTAATCTATCTGTTTTTCTTTCGGGTTGTGGGATTTTGTTCGTGTGTGTTCGTGTTGTACACTGGACGTCACGCTTTCGTTGTTTATTGTTTTTGTTCTTGTGAGCATTTAATAAATATAATATGTTCACTCGCAACGCTGCGCCTTGGTCTCCTGTTCTAGACGATCGTGACAGAAAATCCCACCAGTACCAGACCAAGCAGCGTGAGGAGGAGAAAGGAAGGACCTGGGATCAGGGGAGTAGGAGTTTCGGCTGGGCCACGCTAAGTGAAGAGGAGAGAGGCTGGTCTATGAAGCAATGGATCGAGAGTCTGGCGAGAGCTAGGGAGGCCTGGTCCACGGGGAGGAGAGAACCCCAGAAAATTTTTAGGGGGGGGCTCACGACGTGGACGACGGGGCAGCAGGAGGCCGCGATGGAGCGGTCCAGCGGGTGTGAAGAGGAGGCCGCCAGGTTAAGGGGGCCACTGGTCACAGAGGAGAGGGAAAGTGTGGAGGCACGCCGAGTACTGGGGTGTGTTACCAGTCCGGTCCGGCCCGTTCCTGATCCCTGCGTAGGGCCAGTGGTGTGTGTCCCCAGTACGGTCCGGCCTGTTCCTGTTCCTCGCATCGAGCCTGTGGTGCGTGTCGTCAGCCCGGCCCGGCCTGTTCCTGCTTCCCGCATCGAGTCTGTGGTGCGCGTCGCCAGCCCGGCCCGGCCTGTTCCTTCTCCCCGCACCAAGTCTGTGGTGCGCGTCGCCAGCCCGGCCCGGCCTGTTCCTTCTCCCCGCACCAAGTCTGTGGTGCGCGTCGCCAGCCCGGCCCGGCCCGTTCCTTCTCCCCGCACCAAGTCTGTGGTGTGCGTCGTCAGTCCGGCACGGCCCGTGCCTGTTCCCCGCACCAGGTCAGGGGTGCGCTTCGACGGCCCGGCTCGGCCCGCTCCTGCTTCCCACACCAAGCCAGTGGTGTGCGTCGTCAGTCCGGCACGGCCCGTGCCTGTTCCCCGCACCAGGTCGGGAGTGCGCTTTGACGGCCCGGCTCGGCCCGCTCCTGCTCCCCACACCAAGCCTGTGGTGCGTTTCGTCAGCCCTGTTCGGCTCGTTCCTGCTCTCCGCACCAAGTCTGTGGTGCGCGTCGCCAGCCCATTCCGGTCCATTCCTGCTCCACGCACCAAGCCAGGGGTGTGTATCGTCAGCCCGGTCCGTTCCTGTTCCACGCACCAAGCCAGGGGCGCGTGTCGTCAGTCCGGCTCCGGCCAGTGGGGCTAGACAGGACCAGGGGTACTTTGGGGGGTTGGAGAGGAAGTGGGGATCAAGCCCGGAGCCGGAGCCGCCGCCGAGGAGGAATGCCCACCCAGCCCTCCCCCTGTTTTTGCTCGTATTTAGGCGCGGTCGCAGTCCGCGCCTTTAGGGGGGGGTACTGTCACACCCTGGCTCGGGGACTCATTATGTTGAGCCAGGGTGTGTTCATTCTATGTTTTCTGTTTCTTTGGTGGGTGTTCTAGGTGGTTTATTTTTTATGTTTGCCGGTGTGACTCCCAATCAGAGGCAAACGAGTGTCAGCTGTCGGCTGTTTGTCTCTGATTGGGAGCCATATTTAATCTATCTGTTTTTCTTTCGGGTTGTGGGATTTTGTTCGTGTGTGTTCGTGTTGTACACTGGACGTCACGCTTTCGTTGTTTATTGTTTTTGTTCTTGTGAGCATTTAATAAATATAATATGTTCACTCGCAACGCTGCGCCTTGGTCTCCTGTTCTAGACGATCGTGACACATCCCTGGTCATCTCTACTGCCTCTGATCTGGCGAACTCACTAAACACAAATGCTTTGTTTCTAAATGATGTCTGTGTTGGAGTGTGCCCCTGGCTATCCATAAATAAATAAAAACACAAACAATTGTGCCTTCTGGTTTGCTAAATATAAGGAATTTGAAATGATTTATATTTTTTTATTTTTGAAATTATTATTTAAAACTCAAGTTGTATTTTACTGGGTGACTTTCACTTTTAATTGAGTCATTTCCTATTAAGGTATCTTTACTTTTACTCAAGTATGACAATTGGATACTTTTTCCACCACTGTGAGTCATCAGCATACATAGACACACAGGCTTTACTCAGAGCCAGTGGCCGGTCATTAATAAAGATTTAAAAAAGTAAGGGGCCTAGACAGCCGCCCTAGGGAATGCCTGACTCTACCTGGATTATGTTGGAGAGGCTTCCATTAAAGAAGACCCTCTGTGTTCTGTTAGACAGGTAACTCTTTATCCACAATACAGCAAGGAGTGTAAAGCCATAACACATACGTTTTTCCATCAGCAGACTATGATCAATAATGTCAAAAGCTGCACTGAAGTCTAACATAACAGCTCCCGCAATCTTTTTATTATCCGTTCTTATAAGCTTCCAATCATCAGTAATTTGTGTAAGTGCCGTACATGTTGAATGCCCTTCCCTATAAGCGTGCTGAAAATCTGTTAATTTGTTTACTGTGAAATAGCATTGTATCTGGTCAAACACCATTTTCCCCAAAAATGTACTAAGGGTTTGTAACATGCTATTTGAGCCACTGAAGGGGGCTTTACTATTTTTAGGTAGTGAAATGACTTTTGCTTCCCTCCAAGCATGGGGGCACACACATTCTAGTAGGCTTAAATTGAAAATATGGCAAATAGGAGTGGCAATATCGTCCGCTATTATCCTCAGTAATTTTCCATCCAAGTTGTCAGACCCCGGTGGCTTGTCATTGTTGATAGACAACAATAATTTTTTCACCTCTTCCACACACTTTACGGAATTCAAAATTACAATGCTTGTCTTTCATAATTTGGTCAGATATACTTGGATGTGTAGTGTCAGCAATTGTTGCTGGCATGTCATGCCTAAGTTTGCTAATCTTGCCAATGAAAAAATCATTAAAGTAGTTGGCAATATCAGTTGGTTTTGTGATGAATGAGCCATCTGATTCAGTGAATGATGGAGCTGAATTTGCCTTTTTTCCCAAAATTTAATTTAAGGTGCTCCAAAGCTTTTTACTATAATTCTTTGTCATTTATCTTTGTTTTATGTGACAACTATTATTGTTATTTATGATTATGTTACAACTTTATATATTTTATTTAATGTTCTGTACACTGTAAAGTGCAGATGTGTTCAGTATGTCTGATGCTGATCTGTGTGTGTGTGTGTTTCAGATGCTGGGTTGCGGTTATGTGCTTCTTTCTTGTCTCCTGACGGTGACTCAGTTCCACAGCAGCGTAGACAGTCTTCGCCTCACCCAGGAGAGCCCAGAGGTGAGATCAGGATACAGTGTGTGTGTGTGTGTGTGTGTGTGTGTGTGTGTGTGTGTGTGTGTGTTATATGGGTTCACCTGGTCACATATGAGTTCCATGTATCAGTAACTATAACCAGGGTCAGGAGTTTTTTCCAACCAAGTGACCTGACCAGGAACAACCCCTGACCCTGAACATAATAATATAATAGTACTATAAAACACTCCTAGCGCCTTTTTGGTCTAGTTTTGGGTTCAAATTGTTTTAAGCTGTGCTAACCTAAGTCCACTGGCATGCAAGCTTAAGCAAACACTCAAGGTATTTGAAAGACAGCAAATCCTATTGGAACCCAGGTGTGGTCTGCTCCTTGTTCCCACCCCAGGATCGTAAACTGGGTGAGGGGAGGAGCACAGAGAGGAGAGTGACTGAGTGAGTGATTGAGTGAGGTCACTCATGCACGCAGAGTGAGGGAGGTCCAGGCAGCAGAGTTGGGGAAGGTATCTGCCCGGCCACGGCCGGTGGTGGCGGTGTTTATTCTGGCTCTCCTCGGGACGGTCGGAAACATTTTGTCTCCTTGATCTGATTATGTGGAACGAAATGGCGAGATGACGGCCTGTCATCCCCTCTGTGGCGCTGCCTGGGATGAGCTATAAATACCACCCGGCACTGTTCCCAGGGGAGGCAGAAACAACAGCCACATAAAGAGACGGAAGACACAGGCACATTCTGTCTGTCTGTCTATATGTCTGTCTGCCTGCTTAGCTATCTGTCTGTCAGCATGTTTGCAGATACTATAGACTTACAGTCATTGCGCTAATGCTAGTTAGCAACTTCCTTCAAACTGCACGCAGAGACATAAAAATGGTATCCACAAGTTCATCTGACTCTGGGGAAGTAGATAAAGGGCCAAAATCCTGAAGTATCCCTTTAAGTACAAAATGTTTCTGCTACCATCTCTTATGACCGAAGATAGCTTCTGGATATCAGAACAGCGATTACTCACCTCAAACTGGACAAAGATGTTTTATTTAATGAGTCTGATGCAAAGGATATACTGTTGCTTCCGGACCAGGCCCAAATCCCTGTCATTCGCATGAAGAAAAGACGGAGATACAGGGGGCGCAGATCCGGGTGCCTTGTGAGAATTAGTCGGCGAGTGGGTAACCCGCCTCTACCATCCATTCTATTGGCCAACGTGCAATCACTGGAGAATAAACTGGATGAGCTCCGTTCGAGACTATCCTACCAACAGGACATTAAAAACTGTACACGGATAATATACAGTTGGCTGGGTCTTCCGTGCATCAGCAAGACAGCGAACACCGGTAAGAAGAGGGGTGGTGGTGTGTGTCTATTTGCCAAAAACAACTGGTGCGATGTCTAATATTAAGGAAGTCTCGAGGTATTGCTTGCCTGAAGTAGAGTACATCATGATAAGCTGTAGACCACACTACCTACCAAGAGAGTTTTGATCTATATTTTTTGTAGCTGTCTATTTACCACCACAAACCGATGCTGGCACTAAGACCACACTCAACGAGCTGTATAATGCCAGAAGCAAACAGGAAAATGCTCATCAAGAAGAGGTGCTCCTAGTGGCCGGGGACTTTAATGCAGGCAAACTTAAATCTGTTTTAACTAATTTCTACCAGCATGCCACATGTGCAACCAGAGGAAAAAAACACTAGACCACCTTTACTCCACACACAGAGACACGTACAAAGCTCTCCGCGCCCTCCATTTGACAAATCTGACCATAATTATATCCTCCTCATTCATTTTTAAAAGCAAAAACTGAAGCAGGAAGTACCAGTGACTCGCTCAATACGGAAGTGGTCAGATGACGCGGATGCTACGCTACAGGACTGTTTTGCTAGCACAGACTGGAATATGTTCCGGGATTCATCCAATGGCATTGAGGAGTATACCACCTCAGTCACCAGCTTCATCAATAAGTGCATCGACGACGTCGTGCCCACAGTGACCATACGTACATACCTCAACCAGAAGCCATAGATTACAGGCAACATCCGCACCGAGCTAAAGGCTAGAGCTTCCGCTTTCAAGGAGTGGGACACTAATCCGGAAGCTTATAAGAAATCGCGCTATGCCCTCAGACGTACCATCAAACAGGCAAAGCGTCAATACAGGACCAAGATTGAATCCTACTATACCGTCTCTGACGATCGTCGGATGTGGCAGGGCTTGCAAACGATTACGGACTACAAAGGGAAACCCTGCCGTAAGCTTCCCAGTGACGCGAGCCTACCAGACGGGCTAAATGCCTTTTATGCTCGCTTCGAGGAAAGCAACACTGAGGCATGCATGAGAGCACCAGTTGTTCCGGACGACTGTGTGATCACGCTCTCCGTAGCCGATGTGAGTAAGACCTTTAAACAGGTCAACATCCACAAGGCCGCGGGGCCAAACGGATTACCAGGACGTGTACTCAGAGTATGCGCGGCCCAACTGGCAAGTGTTTTCACTGAAATGTTCAACCTCTACCATAGTCCCTGTGCGCAAGAATGCGAAGCTAACCTGCCTAAATGACTACCGCCCCGTACCACTCACGTCGGTAGCCATGAAGTGCTTTGAAAGGCTGGTCATGGCTCACATCAACACCATCACCCCGGAAACCCTAGACCCACTCCAATTCGCACACTGTCCCAACAGATCCACAGATTATGCAATCTCTATTGCACTCCACACTGCCCTTTCCCACCTGGACAAAAGGAACACCTATGTGAGAATGCTATTCATTGACTACAGCTCAGCGTTCAACACCATAGTGCCCACAATGCTCATCACTAAGCTAAGGACCCTGGGACTAAAAACCTCCCTCTTCAACTGGATCCTGGACTTCCTGACGGGCCGCCTCCAGGTGGTAAGGGTAGGCAACAACACATCTGCCACGCTGATCCTCAACACGGGGGCCCCTCAGGGGTGCGTGCTTAGTCCCCTCCAGTACTCCCTGTTCACCCATGACTGCGTGGCCAAGCACGACTCCAACACCATCATTAAGTTTGCTGACGACACAACGGTGGTAGGCCTGATCACCGACAACGATGAGACATCCTATAGGGAGGAGTTCAGAGACCTGGCAGTGTGGTGCCAGGACAACAAGACAAAGGAGCTGATCGTGGACTACAGGAAAAGGAGGGCAGAACATGCCCCCATTAACATCGACAGGGGTGTAAGTGGAGCGGGTCGAGAGCTTCAAGTTCCTTGGTGTCCACATCACCAACAAACTTCAGTCTCCTGAGGGGGAATATGTGTTGTCGTGCCCTCCTCACGACTGTCTTGGTGTGTTTGGACCATGATAAAGATCTGGCATGGGTCCCCAGATCCTCAAAATGTTCTACAGCTGCACCATCGAGATCATCCTGACCGGTTGCATCACCGCCTGGGATGGCAACTGCTCGGCATCCGACCATAAGGTGCTACCGAGGGTAGTGTGTAAGGCCCAATACATCACTGGGGCCAAGCTTCCTGCCATCCAGGACCTCTATACTAGCCGGTGTCAGAGGAAGGCCCAAAAAATTGTCAGAGACTCCAGTCACCCAAGTCATAGCCTGTTCTCTCTGCTATCGCATGGCAAGCGGTTTCCGGAGTGCCAAGTCCAGGTCCAAAAGGCTCCTTAACAGCTTCCACCCCCAAGCCATAAGACTGCTAAACAATTAATAAAATGGCCACCCGGACTATTTGCAAAGCCCCCCCCCCCCCCCAACCCACCCCACCCCCCCCATTGTTTTTACACTGCTGCTACTCGCTATTTATTATCAATGCATTGTCACTTTACCCTTACTTATATGTACAAATTACCTAAATTACCTCGACTAACCTGTACCCCTGCACATTTACTCGATACTGGTACCCTCTGTATATAGCCTCGTTATTGTTATTTTATTGTGTTACTTTTTTAAACTTTAGTTTATTTAGTAAATATTTTCTTAACTCTATTTTCATAAAACTGCATTGTTGGTTAAGAGCTTGTAAGCATTTAACGGTAAGGTCTACACCTGTTGTATTCGGCGCATGTGACAAATACAATATTATTTTATTTTATTTTATTTGAGTATACCACAACGCAAATGTTTTGTGTGGCAGCTAATGCTATTGAGAGCATTATCTTGGCTAACCATCCACTTTGACCTTGTGGTAGAAGTTCCTTTATACCTCACTATGTTCTCCCATAGTTTACTTCCAACCCAGTGTTAGAAGTTCCTATTGACTTTCTGTGTTTTTCCCATTGTTGTTGTTGTTGTAGTACCTGGACCGGGTGGTTCTAGAGGAGTCAGGCCTGCAGGCCAGGTCCAGTGAGCAAAAGGCAGCAGGGGATTTGACAGCCAAGTTGCTACTCCTTGACCACCTGGACCGCCGGGAGAACGACGTCATTGAGACCAAGACGAAGAGGAGCTTCCCAGGGTCCAATACTCCACTAGACCGCCTCTCCATCAGCACCATGGACCCTAAGGGCTCCAAGCAGAGGTAGGTACCAACCACATAGAGCGAGATACTTTACTTTCAATGCAACTTATAGAGACATCATCAGTAAAGCACATCCGTACTCCCCCTAACGCACACACATGTACAGACATTAACACAAATACTTATTGGGGAAGTTTCCCAGGACACAGAATATTAATGGGGCATTCACATGCTTGTGGGAAGTTGGAAACTGGGAAGATTGAAGTCATGATTGTGTTCAAAAAGTCACAGCGCGGCAACTCGGGTAACAACATTTTCTCGGAGTTTCCCACCTGTAATTATGACTTGGTGGGTCGTTCAAGTGAAACTTTACATTCAGAACTAAAAACCTCTGATAACTCTGATAGCATGTGAAAGCTTCATTAGACTAATCCTGGAAAGCATTTTCAATGGAGATTCTCCATTGAGCTTGCCTTTTAGTCAAGGGCTAGGCTTAATCTGTGTCTAGGAAACTGCCCCTTGACTGCTACAGTGCCTTGCAAAAGTATTCATCCCCCTTGGCGTTTTTCCTATTTTGTTGCATTACAACCTGTAATTTAAAATTGGTGAAGTTAAATCAAAAAAATTACTTGTTTCAAAAAAGTCTAAAAAATAAATAACAGAAAAGTGGTGCGTGCATATGTATTCACCCCCTTTGCTATGAAGCCCCTAAATAAGATCTGGTGCAACCAATGACCTCCAGAAGTCACATAATTAGTTAAATAAAGTCATATAATCTGTCACATGATCTCAGTATATACACACACCTGTTCTGATAGGCCCCAGAGTCTGCAACACCACTAAGCAAGGGGCATCACCAAGCAAGCCGCACCATGAAAACAAAGGAGCTATCCAAACAGGTCAGGGACAAAGTTGTGGAGAAGTACAGATCAGGGTTGGGTTATAAAAAAATATCCGAAACTTTGAACATCCCACGGAGCATCATTAAACCCATTATAAAAAATTGGAAATAATATGGCACCGCAACAAACCTGCCAAGAGAGGGCCGCCCACCAAAACTCACGGACCAGGCAAGGAGGGCATTAATCAGAGAGGCAACAAAGAGACCAAAGATAACCCTGAAGGAGCTGCAAAGATCCACAGCGGAGATTGGAGTATCTGTCCATAGCACCACTTTAAGCCATACACTCCACAGAGCTGGGCTTTAAGGAAGAGTGGGCAGAAAAAAAGCCATTGCTTAAAGAAAAAAATAAGCAAACACGTTTGGTGTTTGCCAAAAGGCATGTGGGAGAATCCCCAAACATATGGAAGAAGGTACTCTGGTCAGATTAGACTAAAATTGAGCTTTTTGGCCATCAAGGAAAACGCTATGTCTGGCGCAAACCCAACACCTCTCATCACCCCGAGAACACCATCCCCACAGTGAAGCATGGTGGTGGCAGCATCATGCTTTGGGGATGTTTTTCATCAGCAGGGACTGGGAAACTGGTCAGAATTGAAGGAATGATGGATGGCGCTAAATACAGGGAAATTCTTGAGGGAAACCTGTTTCAGTCTTCCAGAGATTTGAGACTGTGAGGAGGTTCACCTTCCAGCAGGACAATGACCCTAAGGATACTGCTAAAGCAACACTCGAGTGGTTTAAGGGGAAACATTGAAATGTCTTGGAATGGCCTAGTCAAAGCCCAGACCTCAATCCAATTGAGAATCTGTGGTATGACTTAAAGATTGCTGTACACCAGCGGAACCCATCCAACTTGAAGGAGCTGGAGCAGTTTTGCCTTGAAGAATGGGCAAAAATCCCAGTGGCTAGATGTGCCAAGCTTATAGAGACATACCCCAAGATACTTGCATCTGTAATTGCTGCAAAAGGTAGCTCTACAAAGTATTGTCTTTGGGGGAAGTGAATAGTTATGCACGCTCATGTTTTCTGTTTTTTTGTCTTATTTCTTGTTTGTTTCACAATAAAACATATTTTGCATCTTCGAAGTGGTAGGCATGTTGTGTAAATGAAATGATATAAACCCCCCAAAAATCCATTTTAATTCCAGGTTGTAAGGCAACAAAGTAGGAAAAATGTCAAGGGGGGTGAAAACTTTCGCAAGCCACTGTATGAATGATAATGCCTTCCTATTGTGGAGTTTTTGTAAAATACTGAGTGTGCAACAGACAGGTTGACATTCATATTGTTTTTATCTATCTGAATCAACTTTAAGCGAATTACATCATCAGGTCAGCCCGTCCACAGTGGCCCAAAGTCTCTTTAGCAAGATGCAGAAATAAAACATTAAAGAACAGTTAATTGTCTTGGCTCTCTCTGCTGTATGACACAACTGTTAGAAGGCCTGTTTTTCCTAAATGAGGAAATACATACTGTATACACGTCTTCTCTCTCTTACTTATTACTTAACATTACATCTATCATATTTTATCATTCTATCGTATCCCAAACACTGGCCTTTTTGATTGGCTGAGTGTCAAAACCCTGTCCGCTTTAATTGGCTGTAGCTTACACACAGGCAGCTTTGATTGGTTGAAGATCAAAGGACATCGTGGGATAAAGTCTTTGCTGTTTCTTCTGAGCGAATGAACGGTGTGAGATATAGTGCCAAGTCACGATGAATTATCAGAGCTACACCGCGAAATCAATCATGCATTTAAAATAAGGTTTGATTTGATTTGTATGGACTTGGTGCCTTAGTCCTAGCTGTACTGATGAGAAATGTTGAGACCTGTGAAGGTTTACCTAATGGACATTTACAAATAAAACATTTGTTGAAAATGCAGATATTGTATTAGTGAGTTCCAGTTTATTTGACATTTCACTATGACATGAACATGAAGGTGTTATAAGACCTACCATCAGGTGCTCATGTCAGATAACTACCATCATAACAGAGGTAGCGGTTTGCATTATGACTGTACTGATATAACACCCCTGGGCATGGTAGACTAAATGGCATAGTGAAACAACACTGTCATATGCATTTCATAGTGACGTATTAAATTAAAATTAGAAAAATTATTCAAATTAGATTGAGGATATATTGAAATCATGTTCTAAATGGAAAATTAATATGGGAAATATCCACTAAGATTAGACTGTTACAGTTAGAGCCAGTTTCCCAGACACAGATTAAGCTTAGTCCAGGACTAAAAAGCATTCTCAATGGAGATTCTCCATTGAAAGAGCTATTTAATCCAGGACTAGGTTTAGATAATCTGTATCTGGGAAACACCAGGCCCATAGGATAAGTGAAATTTAAATGGTGACAGTTTATTTCCTCCATCAACCCCAACAGGAAAGTTGTTGAACTGCCACGGAGGCGAGTGAGTGTTCCTATCGACCGGATCGGAGTGGGCCGTCTACCTAGCAGCAGGGGGTAGACCCCCCCCACCCCCACCCACCCATCCCCCCATCCCCTTACCTGGACAGGTAAAGGACAATCCCACAAAGGTGTACAGTCGTGGTCAAATGTTTTGAGAATGACACAAGTATTGGTCTTCACAAAGTTTGCTGCTTCAGTGTTTTTAGATATTTTTGTCAGATGTTACTATGGTATACTGAAGTATAATTACAAGCATTCCATAAGTGTCAAAGGCTTTTATTGACAATTACATTAAGTTTATGCAAAGAGTCAATATTTGCAGTGTTGACCCTTCTTTTTCAAGACCTCTGCAATCCGCCCTGGCATGCTGTCAATTAACTTCTGGGCCACATCCTGACTGATGGCAGACCATTCCTGCATAATTAATGCTTGGAGTTTGTCAGAATTTGTGGGTTTTTGTTTGTCCACCCGCCATTTGAGGATTGACCACACATTCTCAATGGGATTAAGGTCTGGGGAGTTTCCTGGCCATGGACCCAAAATTTCGATGTTTTGTTCCCCGAGCCACTTAGTTATCACTTTTGCCTTATGGCAAGGGGCTCCATCATGCTGGAAAAGGCATTGTTCATCACCAAACTATTCTTGGATGGTTGGGAGAAGTTGCTCTTGGAGGTTGTGTTGGTACCATTCTTTATTCATGGCTGTGTTCTTAGGCAAAATGGTGAGTGAGGCCACTCCCTTGGCTGAGAAGCAACCCCACACATGAATGGTCTCAGGATGCTTTACTGTTGGCATGACACAGGACTGATGGTAGCGCTCACCTTTTCTTCTTCGGACAAGCTTTTTTCCGGATGCCCCAAACAATCAGAAAGGGGATTCATCAGAGAAAATGACTTTACCCCAGTCCTCAGCTGTCCAATCCCTGTACCATTTGCAGAATATCAGTCTGTCCCTGATGTTTTTCCTGGAGAGAAGTGGCTGCCTCGCTGTCCTTCTTGACACCAGGCCATCCTCCAAAAGTATTCGCCTCACTGTGCATGCAGATGCATTCACACCTGCCTGCTGCCATTCCTGAGCAAGCTCTGCACTGGTGGTGCCCCGATCCTGCAGCTGAATCAACTTTAGGAGACGGTCCTGGCGCTTGCTGGACTTTCTTGGGCGCCCTGAAGTCTTCTTCACAACAATTGAACCTCTCTCCTTGAAGTTCTTGATCCGATAAATGGTTGATTTAGGTGCAATCTTACTAGCAGCAATATCCTTGCCTGTGAAGCCCTTTTTGTACAAAGCAATGATGACGGCACGTGTTTCCTTGCAGGCAACCATGGTTAACAGAGGAAGAACAATGATTTCAAGCACCACCCTCCTTTTAAAGCTTCCAGTCTGTTATTCTATTCAATCAGCATGACAGAGTGATCTCCAGCCTTGTCCTCGTCAACACTCTCATCTGTGTTAACGAGAGAATCACAACATTATGTCAGCTGATCCTTTTGTGGCAGTGCTAAAACGCAGTGGAAATGTTTTTTTGGGGATTAAGTTCATTTTCATGGCAAAGAGGGACTTTGCAATTAATTGCAATTAATCTGATCACTCTTCATGACATTCTGGAATATATGCAAATTGCCATCATAAAAACTGATGCAGCAGACTTTGTGAAGACCAATACTTGTGTCATTCTCAAAACATTTGACCATGACAATGGGTCATGTTCATTAGGGCATGCAACACTTTTAAAACGTATTGCAACAGAAGAAAGAGGGTTTCTTAATGGACAAGTATTGGTGTCCCACCCTGTTTCAATCTGTTTCCTTCCGTTTAGTGCCTAATGAACACGACCCAGATTTACCGCACACCATTATATCCTGTACACTACAGTGTAATGTGAATAATTTATAACATGTGACCTGACCAGGAACAACTATGGGCCCTAATAATGGGCTATAAGGAGGAGCAGGTCACAAGGTCAGGAAAAACATGTTAATTCTTGTAAATAGTGTAGCTACAAATAACTCCACAGTGGATCAGACCAGAAATAACTTATTCCTACAACAATGTTTAGAAGACATGAAATTGAAGACCACTCATGGTAATCTGTGTCTATTTTCAAAATTTTCCGCAGGGGATCCCACCACAGAAGATGCATGGAAAGCACAACAACACCCCACGAACACTCCTCTTGCCCTACCAACCCCCACCTCACCCCCATCACCCTACATACATACACTATGGCACAAATCACTTCCTCATTATACTTCTGATGTGATGTAAGCTACCCCCCTTTCCTCCCCACTTCCTTTCCTCATCCTCAGTGGTGATACTGGTGGGGATACCATGTGGGAACATTCTAAAAAACACATCACTACCATAGCAACACACCTATTTACCCATAATGCCAATGGGCGCTCTTGCCTTTTTTGCTCATTTGTAGTACACGCACACATGATCAGTCTATTCACTTTGACTGAAGGCTGACTGGGTGGCAATGGCCTTGACATTAAAAACTGATAAGACAACAACTGACTCAAGTGTTTTACTCTCATGGTATAGGTCTGCATTGGTGTTGTGATTGCTAATTGCTGACAGAACAGTTTATACACATACAGTGGGGAAAAAAAGTTTTTAGTCAGCCACCAATTGTGCAAGTTCTCCCACTTAAAAAGATGAGAGGCCTGTAATTTTCATCATAGGTACAAGTCAACTATGACAGACAAAATGAAAAAAAAAAATCCAGAAAATCACATTGTAGGATTTTTAATGAATTTATTTGCAGATTATGGTGGAAAATAAGTATTTGGTCAATAACAAAAGTTTCTCAATACTTTGTTATATACCCTTTGTTGGCAATGACACAGGTCAAACGTTTTCTGTAAGTCTTCACAAGGTTTTCACACACTGTTGCTGGTATTTTGGCCCATTCCTCCATGCAGATCTCCTCTAGAGCAGTGATGTTTTGGGGCTGTCGCTGGGCAACACGGACTTTCAACTCCCTTCAAAGATTTTCTATGGGGTTGAGATCTGGAGACTGGCTAGGCCACTCCAGGACATTGAAATGCTTCTTACGAAGCCACTCCTTCGTTGCCCGGGCGGTGTGTTTGGGATCATTGTCATGCTGAAAGACCCAGCCACGTTTCATCTTCAATGCCCTTGCTGATGGAAGGAGGTTTTCACTCAAAATCTCACGATACATGGCCCCATTCATTCTTTCCTTTACACGGATCAGTCGTCCTGGTCCCTTTGCAGAAAAACACCCCCAAAGCATGATGTTTCCACCCCCATGCTTCACAGTAGGTATGGTATGGTGTTCTTTGGATGCAACTCAGCATTCTTTGTCCTCCAAACACGACGAGTTGAGTTTTTACCAAAAAGTTATATTTTGGTTTCATCTGACCATATGACATTCTCCCAATCCTCTTCTGGATCATCCAAATGCACTCTAGCAAATTTCAGATGGGCCTGGACATGTACTGGCTTAAGCAGGGGGACACATCTGCACTGCAGGATTTGAGTCCCTGGCGGCGTAGTGTGTTACTGAATTGTAGGCTTTGTTACTTTGGTCCCAGCTCTCTGCAGGTCATTCACTAGGTCCCCCCGTGTGGTTCTGGGATTTTTGCTTACCGTTCTTGTGATCATTTTGACCCCACGGAGTGAGATCTTGCGTGGAGCCCCAGATCGAGGGAGATTATCAGTGGTCTTGTATGTCTTCCATTTCCTAATAATTGCTCCCACAGTTGATTTATTCAAACCAAGCTGCTTACCTATTGCAGATTCAGTCTTCCCAGCCTGGTGCAGGTCTAACATTTTGTTTCTGGTGTCCTTTGACAGCTCTTTGGTCTTGGCCATAGTGGAGTTTGGAGTGTGACTGTTTGAGGTTGTGGACAGGTGTCTTTTATACTGATAACAAGTTCAAACAGGTGCCATTAATACAGGTAACGAGTGGAGGACAGAGGAGCCTCTTAAAGAAGAAATTACAGGTCTGTGAGAGCCAGAAATCTTGCTTGTTTGTAGGTGACCAAATACTTATTTTCCACCATAATTTGCAAATAAATTCATAAAAAATCCTACAATGTGATTTTCTGGATTTTTTTCCTCAATTTGTCTGTCATAGTTGACGTGTACCTATGATGAAAATTACCGGCCTCTCTCATCTTTTTAAGTGGGAGAACTTGCACAATTGGTGGCTGACTAAATAATTTTTTCCCCACTGTACTTACAGAAGACTAAGAGTTTAGTTGAATTGATTAGATTTTTATCCACAATTGATCAGATTTTTATTCAATGTTGAAAGCACATGGACATTGTTTAATTGTCAATTCCACTGCACAAAAATGTAAACTGACACCAATACCGGTAGCTATGGTCTGAGAGGGATCAAGAAGAATAGAAACTCAGTAACACAACAGCATTGCAATGCCTTATCCAAAAATGTGTTTATTTCATTATCAATTATATCATCCATGATAATGTCAAGGAAATGCAAAATAATACTGGCCAATGCCAAGTGCAAATTATAAAACATAATTAGATGACGTGTACAGTATGTCCCTACTCTTATACGTTAGGGGTAACTTGTCAGATATACTGTAAATGGCTACAGCATTATATGAGTTTAGGAGTGCAGTTTGTATCTGAGGGCACATTAATGATACATTGGAATTCATCATATAAGAATGCACAAGGAGTTCAAGTAGAGTTTGACATGGAAATTGCTTGTCATCGGGATGTAATTGATACGATCATATCAAATATAAGGCCTGGTGAGTGTGATAAGATGAGGTTGGAGTGCATTGTTGGAGTACGATGATACATGATCAGCTTTTCTGATGTCACGTGGGGACTGAGTTGGAGATAATCTTTCGAATTCACAATAGAAAATAAAAAATATAACGTTGGGTGGGGTCAAATAATTGAAAAGTTTTAAATAAATGGCACTTTTCAATTCTTAAATTGGAATGTCAACTCATCTCATAAATAAAGCTGCATTTAAATGGACTTGACCCCCAACCCTGGAGAGAGGAGTTATGGGGAAAGGGGACGAGGGTGCACAGGGGACTGAGGACATGAGACATGGATAGGGGACAGGTTGAACAGAGGAGACCCCCCCCCCCCGCCCCCCATTCCCTCTCCCCACCACATCACCACCACGGCCCCGTCCCCAGTTGGCTCTGCAACCAATCGGCGTAGTTGGCCACCCGGGTGTAGACCCCGTAAACCCTCTGGCTCCCACACTCCTCCGGCCCCCCCCATGACACCAGGCCTTGGGCCACCCAGCGCCCGCTTCCAGGGTCCTCCATCACGAACGCCCCCCCGCTGTCCCCCAGGCACGTGTCGCGCCCGCCCTCGTAGAAGCCGGCACAGAACATGTTGTCAGTGATGTTGTAGTTGATGGAGCGTGAGGCATAGCTGGCCTTGCACTCCTCCTGCGCCACCACGGGCAGCTTGACATACTGCAGCACGTCCGACACCATGCCCAGGTCAGAGGAGAGCGCGGCGGTGTCGGTGGCCACAGAGGCGTTGGGGTTGGAGATGCCCCAGCCGGCCACCAGGCCCAGGGTGTTGAGCTGGGGGCTCTGGGGCCTGTCTTTTCCCTGGGGAGGGGGCAGGCAGACGGGCCGCACCAGCTCCCCCACGGGCACCGCCTGACTCAGCTTGACCAAGGCGATGTCGTTGTTGTAGTTGCGAGGGTCGAAGTGAGGGTGGAGGATGACTTGTTCCACCAAGCGGTTGGTGGCGTGTTGCTTGGCACGGACATCGTGCAGGCCCAGGTAGACGCGGATGTGTTCGGGCGCCACAGGCACCACGGTGTCGCCGCGGCGTTGGGAGCGCAGGACGTGAGCGGCGGTGAGGACCCAAGACTCGGAGAGCAGGGCCCCGCTCCCGAACCAGCGGTCCTCCGGGACACGAGACATGTCTTCCACGGTGAAGAGGACCTGCCAGGGGAAGAGACCTGGCACAGCGCTACGCCCCCCGACGATGCGCTTCATCAGTGCTGGGAAGGACTGGGACGGCTCCCCACATGCTGAAACACACAGACACAGCCACACAGAGTGTGAGTTGGACTCATGCTCTCGTGATGAGGTAGCCCTGTCTGCAACTTAAAACCAGTGGCACCCTCGGTCCAAGAGATAATTTTTAAATAGTTAATATTGTGGTTTCCTGAACAGGAGACTGGGATTCGGATCCCTACAGATCGGATCCATACACTCTTACTGTAAAAATTCAACAGTTAGGCCTGCAGTAGTGAAGCTTACCTGGTAAACAGGTAGGAGTTTTAGTCCCACGTTCTGAGTTGGTCCACTCTCCCTTCTCCCCACAGGTGTACATAGCTGCACAGACAGTCAATAAATGACATATTTGCATATAAAATGTCAGCATGTGCTCAAATCAGCATAACAAATGAAAGAAACCAGAATGTTTCCTGACTACTTGACTTGATTGGGAAAAACTCTGGGCCCGGTTTCCCAGTAGTGATGGAATTGAGGCTTACGAGTGTTTTAATGATGAATTGTAAAAATAACAGCCATAGATGTCACACCCATTTCCCAAAACACCACGCAGTGCACGAGTTACAAAGTCAAACTTGACTCTGCCATTACAGGAGCTGTCCTGTGCTGAAAATTATTCCAGAAGTAGACTAAAGAGCTCACTGTAAATCTTAAATCCATGTTTTACACAATACACATTTTCCTTCAAGAGAATAAATGTTCTGTAGGCTATTTATTTAAGTGTTTGCATTATATGTTTGCCATGTGTTATGCATTCTAAGGGTTTTCTCATGCTTTTTGTATGCAATGTTTGATTATGTAAATTCTGCATTTCTTCAGTTTGTGTCGACTTTGAGCAAGAACGAATAAAGTCTCAGTCGCCATTAAACAAATATGATGATAATGGTTTTCGTAATTGCTCAACAAATCATTGTAGCCTAATGGCAGGCAGGAATTGAGTTTCAAGTAGGCCTACAGAAATTCTACAATTTCTTTGTATTTGTAATTATTAAGGATCCCCATTAGCTGCTACCAAGGCAGCAACTACTCTTCCTGGGGTCCAGCAACATTAAGGCAGTTATATAAAGTTACAAATATTACATGACATTACATTTCATAACACTTTACCCAATCCATTTAGTATGTTCCCTCAGGCCACTACTCCACTATCACATATCTACAATGCAACATCCATGTGTAGGTGTGTGTAGAGCGCGTGTCTTATCATGTGTATGTGAGTATGTGTGTGTCTCTTCACAGTCCCCGCTGTTCCATAAGGTGTATTTTTATCTGTTTTATGGACAAACTTCTCCCCATCTTAACTACTACTTTATCAACATGTTTTGACCATGACAGTTTACAATCCAGGGTTACTCCAAGCAGTTTAGTTACCTCAACTTGCTCAATTTCCACATTATGTACTACAAGATTTAGTTGAGGTTTATGGTTTAGTGAATGATTTGCCCCAAATACAATGCTTTTAGTTTTTGAAATATTTAGGACTAACTTATTACTTGCCACCCATTCTGAAACTAACTGCAGCTCTTTATTAAGTGTTGCAGTGATTTAACTTGCTGTAGTAGCTGACGTGTATAGTGTTGAGTCATCTGCATACATAGCCACACTGGCTTTACTCAAGCCCAGTTGCATGTCATTAGTAAAGATTGAAAAAAGTAAGGGGCCTAGACAGCTGCCCTGGGGAATTCCTGATTCTACCTGGATTATGTTAGAGAGGCTAAATAATTAAACATGTTAAGCGACGTTGCCATAGACCTAATATAGAGGGCTTACACCTAGCAACCACACCAGGCGTATTGTTGGAAGACCAGAGTCAGTCTGGTGGAAGTCCTCTGATCGTCCACATGGCTGGCTGCATTTTGCTACCACCAGAAACTTCGCGAAGATTACCCATTGTTAAATTTTTCTAAGGACCCAGAAAACAGAGGCAGTGGGAGAACCTATTCAAGTAAGTAGAATAAATGTTTTAATGATTTTTAAAAACAATGTATTATTAGCTACAGGAACTTAATGTTCAGGCTAACTCAAATGAGCTGCTAACGTAATGTTTGCTAGCTAGCTTTGCATACTGTATAGCTAGCTAAGTTAATTAAATATCACCAGCTAGCTAACTTAATATTAGCTAGTTAGTATTTATTGTTGTAACTTGAAATTCATTTGTAGCTAGGTAGCTAGCTAACAGCCATGGAAGAGTTCCAGCTGTCACAGAATGGAGAGTAGGCTACTCTGGATAGGACAGGTACCTTTGTGGGAGGACATTATGAAAAGATTATCCAGTTCCAGTCCCTAACGAGAAAAACTGAGGACAAATAAATACAGCAACATAATATTCAGTGCTGTCTAATTTGAGTATAAAGCAGCCTGTGTCTTTGTGATGTTTTCTGTCCTCGGATACAGAGAGCTGTGAAACCCTGTCTGCGTCTGCAGATGAAGAGGTCCCAATGAATGTCCCAAGAGAATAAGGGTACATCCTTGTACACCATGAGTTATATGTGTACCTATGTTAGCATATATATATTTAAAAAAAAACAAATATACAGTTTTAAAGTCACGCACAATGTGTAAACCTATTACAACTGGAGCAGGCCAACCCTGCTGGGTGTGCGGGCTTCTGTTCCAGCCCAGCACTAACACACCAGATTCAATTTATCAAACCTAATTAGTTGATAATTAAGTGTGCTATTGCTGGGCTGGAATAGAAGTCTGCTCACCCAGCAGATCAGGGATCAGTGGAGCAATGTTGGCCACCTCTGGTATGGACTAAAATGGACTCTCCAATTAGTTGTTTTGATTGTCACTCGTTTTTTCAGGATGTCAGCCATGTGAAACCATTTTGCAGCTGATAATGGCATGCAACGCCAATGCAGCCATATGCCTACAGCACTGGTTACCAAGTCCAGTCCTTGAGTAACCCCAACAGCACACATTTTTGTTGTAGCCCCGGACAAACAGACCTGATTCAAATCATTGAGGGGCTGATGATTAGTTGACAAGATCAGGTGTGCTTGTCTGGGGCTACAATAAAAATGTGTACTGTTGGGGTTACTCATGGACTGGAGTTGGGAACCACTGACCTACAGTATGATGGCATTTGCCTTATGGCCATTTGCAATGCACCCCTTGACATTGTGCATCTGAAGCAGAGAATACCTTTACTCACACATTGTTCACAAAGTGTTGAGCTGTATGTTCTCAATTTAAAAACGATACCAGTAGACAACATATGTGAGGCTAATCATTATACTAGATTTTGAACATGCCTTGTGCTGACATCAAACCCTTGTAATCTAGGTAGTGAAATGTCTGGAAGCAGGAGATGATGGGCTCCTTAATTTAAAACATACACACAACTACTACTACCAAGTTCAATGCCAGATACCTTTCTCCCAGAAGGTCTCAGTGGCACTTGGAGGTGCCACTGTGATCATGAAGATGGTTTGTCTAAGACTAGCACAATTACATTGTCTATGTTAAATGTGTTTAAATTATAAAGAAAGAATAGTTAGGCTATAAGAAATACATTTTATTCAATGGGGAATGGCAAAGCAGAGATGACACACAAAATAATGTTAATTTCACCCATACAACAATATAGCCTATTATTGAAGTACAGTATGTTTACAATATCATAAACAATAGTCTTTTACATGTTGTTCCAAATTACATTTTATATATTCATACAGTTTAAGGGGGCACTTTTGTCATGACGACCATGTAAAGGTGCTTTGTACTCAAATGGCACAACAGAATCATTTAGATTGACCAAAGCACAGCATATTACAACCATCTTGTGTAACTGAGGGATGTCTCCTTTGATATCTTTCACAGTAGTAAACTGCTGCAGCATTGCTCATCTTCACAGTGGGAATCCAGTCGACATGGGTGTCTTGATAGAGGTCAGCTGGTGAACCTACAGTACATAAACAAATGAAAAGCACAGCTGATATTAGAATTTATTGTAACTTCATTAGGTCACCTAGACCATCAGGGCTCTTGATTGTTTGGTTGTGTTTAATTCATTCAGGTGTTTTAGTGTTATATAAATATTCAATCTATTGCTGGAACAACTAATAGTCAACACAGCAGGTGGTTCTATCCCATTGAGGCCTTTGTCCTATGCTGTAATGTCCATACATTTCCCCTCCTCTTATGAATAAAGTTCTCAACAAATGATCATTGGGTCAGTACCATTGGAGTTTTCTTAGACAATAATATCCTCCTCCAGGCTATATGGACGTCATATTGTAGAATTTGTGCCTCCTCTTTTCATGGTCATGGCTAGAAGGATCCAGCTTTTCAAATTCGACTTTTCGTAGCAGCTTACGAGAAATTACACAGCAGGTTAAGAGAATTAGGTTAAGGTTAGGAAAATGTTCAGTTAAAATGCTAAAACATGATACTTTTAACATTAATTTGACAAAAGCTGGATCCCTTCTAGCCATGACCCCTTTTCATAAGCCTAGATTGCATGGTTGCATTCAAGAAAATGTTGTTTTATTGATCTGTTGTCAGTGTCAGCAAAGTAGACCCAGGCTACCGTCATCTTATAAAATACTCTGCTAATGTCTCCAGTCATATAAAGTGTAGTAGAAGTGTATGAAATGTTTATCAAAGATAAGAAACGTCTCTGATATAGCCTATAGGCCTATGCCACTACGCACTCATTAATAGCCTAAATTATAACTATCCAATCTACTCACCACAATAGGAATAGCAGGCTTACATTAGTCTGCAAATGCCATGATAGATGCATGCAATCCTTTTTATGGTTAAAAAATTGATTACCAAAAACTTGAAACTCACGCGCCACCTATGTAAGAGACATGCAAATAGCTAGACTACAAGTTATCTAGCTAGCTAATGTTGGCTAACTTAGTCTTGTTCTTAATGCCTGTTTAGCATAACAGCTAAACTAAACCAAAAATCTAATCAGACTTACCAGTGGGTTCAGGTCTTGACGGGCACAAAGGTTTCTTTGCTTTTCTGACAGTTCTTTAGTCTTAACTCCTTGTTGTTTCATGATTGCGGGTAATCTGTAAAAAATAAAAAATAATCCCGTTGTCTTTCCTGCTTTGTTAGAGCAGCCAAATACTGCATAGAAATTGACCGTGGTGATGAATCAACTAGTTTTAGGCCTGTTATCATGCAGCATAGGGTAGCCACTCGGCTGTAGTTGTCAAAATAATTGATGGCCACCAGGAGGCGTCATAAGTCAACTGGCAACCTTCTATGTTGACCTTTAGGTTATTGGTTAGGCTACAGTGAAATGTATGAGCTTTCATTTAATAGTAGCCTACAGGCCTAATACACGAATATTGAAGCGGCTCAAGTGTAGCCTAATCCAATGGTTTAATACTAGGTAGGTCTATCGATTGCACATACATATGAAAGTAATGTCAATATGTAGCACCAATCTAGCAATCATATAATTTGGTGCATTTTACAATTTGGTGCATCTCGGTTTTCATAAAAATAAAATGGTATCCTTGCTTCCCTTGTTTATAACATTGCAAACTTTTTAGGCTATTTATATTTAACTATGAAGTCACAGAGAGACAGATAAACATATTCAATGAGATCTAACGACGCACCTAGCTGTTCTAAGAGTGGTCTGAGACAGGCGTTATATTCAGAGCGTTTTCAAGTGCAACATTAATAAAGACGATTTTCGGAAGCAGAAACCTAAAGATGCCCTTATGAAGGTTATAACGATGAAATTAGCTTTAAGATACATTTTGGAAACCGGGCCCTAGCTCTTATAGGGCCCAGAGTTTTTCCTGGTCAGGTCGCATGGTCAAGAAAACTTTGGGCCCTATGACGGGAACATACTGTTGATCTTGGGGTGAATCTGGTACATGGACTCCCTGCAGGTGTACTGGATTATAGAACCGAACAGGGTGCTGTTGCCGGGGCTCTCGAAGATGACATCACCCATGGCAACCTCCCCAGGAGTCCCACAATCCACCACTGAGAGAGGAAGGAGAGGAAAAAGAGTTAATGATATTTAATCAGGTTTGATCAGTATTAGTAAGTATGGTTTGGAGAAATGGATCTACAACTGGACACGGGTTAAAGAGCAAAGTTGGGACATGAGCGGCACACACATGAAAATCATTGGATGGGCGGATATAATTTATACTCCATGTACTTGATAATATTAATGATATTTTTATTTTATCCCTTTTTCTCCCCAATATCCAATTGGTAGTTACAGTCTTGTCCCATCGACTCCCGAGTGGCGCAGTGGTCTAAGGCACTGCATCGCAGTGCTAGCTGTGCCACTAGAGATCCTGGTTCGAATCCAGGCTCTGTCGTAGCCGGCCGCGACTGGGAGACCCATGGGGCGGCGCGCACAATTGGCCCAGCGTCGTCCAGGGTAGGGGAGGGAATGGCCGGCAGGGGATATAGCTCAGTTGATAGAGCATGGCGTTTGCAACGCCAGGGTTGTGGGTTTGATAAAATAATGTATGCACTAACTCTAAGTCGCTCTGGATAAGAGCGTCTGCTAAATGACTAAAATGTAAATGTACGGACTTGGGAGAGGCGAAGGTTGGGAGCCATGCGTCCTCCGAAACACGACCCTGCCAAGCCGCACTGCTTCTTGACACACCGCTCGCTTAACCCAGAAGCCAGCCGCACCAACGTGTCAGAGGAAACACCGTACAACTGGCCACTGTGTCAGCGTGCATGCGCCCGCCCTGCCACAGGAGTCGCTAGAGCTCGATGGGACAAGGACATCCCAGCCGGCCAAACCCTCCCCTAACCCGGACGACGCAGGGCCAATTGTGCGCCGCCTCATCGGTCTGCTGGTCGCGGCCGGCTGCGACACAACCTGGGATCGAACCCAGGTCTGTAGTGACGCCTCAAGCACTGTGATGCAGTTCCTTAGACCGCTGTGCCACTATTTTTTTTTTTAATGACTATTCAGGGTTCTCAATTATTTTTTTACCCAATCAGTCCCACCGCGACGCCGGCGCGATTTGAACTTCCAACCCTCTCTAAACATTGTGTGTTTGAGCTAAAGACTTATGGTTTATACCATTGGATTTGGATTTATTTTGCATCCATTGGTACCAATCATTAGTCTGTGTGATTAACGGGGGCTGAGCTAGAGTGGTGTTTGTGAGACGAGGGCGGATCCCGAAGGGGCCCGGGGCTGGGTATTTTGACAAAAACGTCTGTAGAGTCCAAATGGTTTGTGCTACAAACTATTAATGAAAAGCTGAGACTCTCACGAACATGCACATGTAACATGTTTTGCTCTATGACGCTCACAAGGTACACAAGAGTCATTAGAAGGTAAGGGGTTCTTCTATATAGATCATAGGAAATCCAAGGACATAGTGTCTATAATACTGTATTAAGCTGACATTGTTGCTGTCACAAACTCCAAACTTCACACAGTTGTCACTGACTAGTTGGATATTAATTTTCCAATGAGCAAACCATTTCTGTACTTTTTATCAGGTTTTTGCTTTGACAGACAAAAAAAAAAAAAAAAAAAAAAAACGAATGTAACTGTTTATTTCAATTTTTTTGGTGTTCTACTTGTAGCCCTGGTTATCCTGAAAAGAAAATAGTAAAACACTTTGTGAGGCTAAATATAAGGGCTGATAAATGAAGGTCAGATAAATTAAAAGCTCAGTCATTTTCTTTTTCTATTTTCACAGCCAGTCCACAAGGTGGCGCAGTGCCTCTCTTTGGGGAGAACCCAGACTATTACAGACTACTGAAAGGATGGGAGTCTGATGATCACCAATAAAATGACTAATAGAAGAGAGATAAGCAAATGGGAAAAGGCATTGTTTGTGGCACTGTACCTCACTGTAATTCAGTCGACATAGAGGTCGCGGATTCTCCATATGGCTTCTCTTTCTGCGCTGACATTCTATGTTCTATGTTCGAGGCTGTGGTTCTTCGATTCAATTTGTATTACAGTGAAACAAACACAAACAGAAAGATTCCAGGCAGGTACCAGAGTTTATTGCAGTTTGTGATGTCACACTCCATAGTCAACAGTACAGTGTGATGAGAGAGACAAGGGGAAAAGATTCCTTATGACTTTCTATAATTGCTCTTCTCGCCAATGCTATAACCTGGTAATCTAGAGAAGCACTGAATTTAAAGACACTGGTTGGTTGGCCATGTGATGATGTCACTGCATGGCTCTAGTCCAGTATTTGATTTCTTAGAATGCTGGGCAGAGATCGACGGCTCCTCCGAGATTCCATTTCTGGAAGGCGGTGGATGAGAGGAGTAGGGAAAGAGGGAGAGAGAGAGGAAGCAGAGAAAGAGGGAGAATATGGAGGGAGGGAAAGAGGAGACAGAGTGCTGTACAATGCAAATATATACACAGGGGCAGTATACAATGAAAGTACCTGGCAGTTCCTACGTGATATAGAGGCCTCATTAAACATTAAATTAATATTGGATTGAAATCCAATCTGTGCTGAACCAAATTCAACAACATACAACACACACAAATGCGGACAGGCAGGCAGGCAGGCAGGCACGGACACACACACACACACACACACTCATCCAAGCTTTATCACTTCTTACTTTTACAAAGTGGGACAGAGCTGTTCCATGAGCCGTCTTTCTGACACTCGATCTGAAAGTGCTCGAGTTCCTCTCCATCCTTTCAGAAAGAAAGAGAAAAGAGGGAGGAAACATTAAATTAATCAACAGACTGCAGACTTAACATATCCAGACCAATTCAATAAAGCTCTCTCTCTCCACAAATAAGTCTCCAAACAATACTTTAAATTGCCAAACGGCACCAGAACATCAAGATGAAATGTATTTTGAATTTTGTTCGAGCAATACGGTGCATTAAAACTAAAAGCAGATTTACCTAGCTCGGTGGAGACCCTAGGAACCTCAATCCTGTGAACGGGTTAGGCAACGCAGGTGTCTATACTTCAATAGCAAAGTTAGATAAGACGGAAGATTATGAAGTAGGGCCTTGTAAACAAAAAGGGAGTAATGTAGAGATCTACAGGTCTTTAGCGAAGGCCAACCAACCTTTTGATACAGGATGCAGTAATGAGTATCAAAACTGTCACCTGTATCAAAACAAAGGGCGCTATGGTAGATGGCATCCAAAGGTTTAAGAGTAGTAGCAGCTGCACTTTGATAAATAATATCACCATATTCAAGAACAGATAAAAAGGTTGACTGAATAATCTGCTTCCTACTGCTTAGAGATAGATTTTTCTACAGAAACAGATCATAGCTTCTTATCCAGCTCATCTACATGTTTTTTAAACATCAAATCCATATAAATTCAAAATGCCTAAATATCTACATGCTAGAACACGTTCGATTTGAGAACCATCTAATGAGTGAACATTCTTACGAGAGTTTAAAAACAACATGTATTTAGTTTTGCCAGTATTTAGCAAAAGTTTTAAATCAGCAAGGGATTCCTGCATAGCTTTAAAATCTGACTGTAGTTTTGACACAACCAGATCAACAGTCGGGGTAATAGCATGTATAATAGTATCATCCCCGCATATAGATTAAGTTTTTTTTAAATTACAGATTGACCAATGGCGTTTATATAAATAGTGAAGAAAACAGGTCCTAAAATCAACCCGTGGTACACCTTTATGTACATCAAGACATTCAGACCTAACCCCATCAATCACGATGGCCTGAGTTCTATCACTAAGATAATCATGAAACCATAAACAGGCGTCAGAGCTCAGGCCTATCGAGGACAACTTATTCAATAAATATAGCATGATCAACAGTATCAAAAGCTTTTGACAGGTCCACAAACAAAGCAGGACATTTCATTTTAGTGTCTGAAGCATTGACAAGATCATTAAGAGGTAAAGTGGTAGCTGTAAAAGTGCTATGCCCAGGCCTAAAACCTGATTGGTTTACATTCAAAATACATTTCTCAGATAAAAAAAGAGCAAAGTTGTACATTTACCTAAGTTTCAAGAATCTTAGCTAGACAAGGAAGCCTTGAAATGGGGTGAAAATTATTACAATCACTACTATCCCAGCCCTTATGGAGTGGCAGCACAGTGATTTCCATTATTTTAGAATACTTCCTGATAACAATGTTAAATAAATATTTTATTTTTATTGGCCAGTCTGAGATATGGCTTTTTCTTTGCAACTCTGCCTAGAAGGTCAGCATCCCGGAGTCGCCTCTTCACTGATGACGTTGAGACTGGTGTTTTGCGGGTACTATTTAATGAAGCTGCCAGTTGAGGACCTGTGAGGCATCTGTTTCTCAAACTAGACACACTATTTGTCCTCTTGCTCAGTTGTGCACCGGGGCCTCCCACTCCTCTTTCTATTCTGGTTAGAGCCAGTTTGTGCTGTTCTGTGAAGGGAGTAGTACACAGCGTTGTACGAGATCTTCAGTTTCTTGGCAATTTCTCGCATGGAATAGCCTTCATTTCTCAGAACAAGAATAGACTGACAAGTTTCAGAAGAAAGTTATTTGTTTCTGGCCATTTTGAGCCTGTAATCGAACCCACAATTGCTGATGCTCCAGATACTCAACTAGTCTCAAGAAGACCAGTTTTATTGCTTCTTTAAATCAGCACAACAGTTTTCATCTGTGCTAACAATAATTGCAAAAGGGATTTCTAATGATAAATTAGCCTTTTAAAATGATAAACTTGGATTAGCAAACACAACGTGCCATTGGAACACAGGACTGATGGTTGCTGATAATGGGCCTCTGTACGCCTATGTAGTTATTCCATAAAAAATCTGCCGTTTCCAGCTACAATAGCCATTTACAACATTAACAATGTCAACACTGTATTTCTGATCAACTTTATGTTATTTTAATGGACAAAAAAATTTCATTTCTTTCGAAAACAAGGACATTTCTAAGTGACCCCAAACGTTTGAACGGTAGTGTATATACATATACAGTGGGGGAAAAAAGTATTTAGTCAGCCACCAATTGTGCAAGTTCTCCCACTTAAAAAGATGAGAGAGGCCTGTAAATTTCATCATAGGTACACGTCAACTATGACAGACAAAATGAGAAAAAGAAATCCAGAAAATCACATTGTAGGATTTTTAATGAATTTATTTGCAAATTATGGTGGAAAATAAGTATTTGGTCAACAACAAAAGTTTCTCAATACTTTGTTATATACCCTTTGTTGGCAATGACACAGGTCAAACGTTTTCTGTAAGTCTTCACAAGGTTTTCACACACTGTTGCTGGTATTTTTGCCCATTCCTCCATGCAGATCTCCTCTAGAGCAGTGATGTTTTGGGGCTGTCGCTGGGCAACACGTACTTTCAACTCCCTCCAAATATTTTCTATGGGGTTGAGATCTGGAGACTGGCTAGGCCACTCCAGGACCTTGAAATGCTTCTTACGAAGCCACTCCTTCGTTGCCTGGGCGGTGTGTTTGGGATCATTGTCATGCTGAAAGACCCAGCCACGTTTCATCTTCCATGCCCTTGCTGATGGAAGGAGGTTTTCACTCAAAATCTCACGATACATGGCACCACTCATTCTTTCCTTTACACGGATCAGTCGTCCTGGTCCCTTTGCAGAAAAACAGCCCCAAAGCATGATGTTTCCACCCTCATGCTTCACAGTAGGTATGGTGTTCTTTGGATGTAACTCAGCATTCTTTGTCCTCCAAACACGACGAGTTGGGTTTTTACCAAAAAGTTCTATTTTGGTTTCATCTGACCATACGACATTCTCCCAATCCTCTTCTGGATCATCCAAATGCACTCTAGCAAACTTCAGACGGGCCTGGATATGTACTGGCTTAAGCAGGGGGACACGTCTGGCACTGCAGGATTTGAGTCCCTGGCGGCGTAGTGTGTTACTGATGGTAGGCTTTGTTACTTTGGTCCCAGCTCTCTGCAGCTCATTCACTAGGTCCCCCCGTGTGGTTCTGGGATTTTTGCTCACCGTTCTTGTGATCATTTTGACCCCACGGGGTGAGATCTTGCGTGGAGCCCCAGATCGAGGGAGATTATCAGTGGTCTTGTATGTCTTCCATTTCCTAATAATTGCTCCCACAGTTGATTTCTTCAAACCAAGCTGCTTACCTATTGCAGATTCAGTCTTCCCAGCCTGGTGCAGGTCTACAATTTTGTTTCTGGTGTCCTTTGACAGCTCTTTGGTCTTGGCCATAGTGGAGTTTGGAGTGTGACTGTTTGAGGTTGTGGACAGGTGTCTTTTATACTGATAACAAGTTCAAACAGGTGCCATTAATACAGGTAACGAGTGGAGGACAGAGGAGCCTCTTAAAGAAGAAGTCTTGCTTGTTTGTAGGTGACCAAATACTTATTTTCCACCATAATTTGCAAATGAATTCATAAAAAATCCTACAATGTGATTTTCTGGATATTTTTTTCTCAATTTGTCTGTCATAGTTGATGTGTACCTATTATGAAAATTACAGGCCTCTCTCATCTTTTTAAGTGGGAGAACTTGCACAATTGGTGGCTGACTAAATACTTTTTTCCCCCACTGTATACACACACACACACACACACACACACACACACACACACACACACACACACACACATTTACAGTGAGGGAAAAAAGTATTTGACCCCTGCTGATTTTGTACGTTTGCCCACTGACAAAGACATGATCAGTCTATAATTTTAATTGTAGGTTTATTTGAACAGTGAGAGACAGAATAACAACAAAAAAATCCAGAAAAACACATGTCAAAAATGAGGGAAATAAGTATTTGACCCCTCTGCAAAACATTACTTAGTACTTGGTGGCAAAACCCTTGTTGGCAATCACAGAGGTCAGATGTTTCTTGCAGTTGGCCACCAGGTTTGCACACATCTCAGGAGGGATTTTGTCCCACTCCTCTTTGCAGATCTTCTCCAAGTCATTAAGGTTTCGAGGCTGACGTTTGGCAACTCGAACCTTCAGCTCCCTCCACAGATTTTCTATGGGATTAAGGTCTGGAGACTGGCTAGGCCACTCCAGGACCTTAATGTGCTTCTAATTGAGCCACTCCTTTGTTGCCTTGGCCGTGTGTTTTGGGTCATTGTCATGCTGGAATACCCATCCACGACCCATTTCCAATGCCCTGGCTGAGGGAAGGAGGTTCTCACCCAAGATTTGACGGTACATGGCCCCGTCCATCGTCCCTTTGATGCGGTGAAGTTGTCCTTCCCCTTAGCAGAAAAACACCCCCAAAGTATAATGTTTCCACCTCCATGTTTGACGGTGGGGATGGTGTTCTTGGGGTCCTCCTCCTCCAAACACGGCGAGTTGAGTTGATGCCAAAGAGCTCCATTTTGGTCTCATCTGACCACAACACTTTCACCCAGTTCTCCTCTGAATCATTCAGATGTACATTGGCAAACTTCAGACGGGCCTGTATATGTGCTTTCTTGAGCAGGGGGACCTTGCGGGCGCTGCAGGATTTCAGTCCTTCACGGCATGGTGTGTTACCAATTGTTTTCTTGGTGACTACGGTCCCAGCTGCCTTGAGATCATTGACAAGATCCTCCTGTGTAGTTCTGGGCTGATTCCTCACCGTTCTCATGATCATTGCAACTCCACGAGGTGAGATCTTGCATGGAGTCCCAGGCAGAGGGAGATTGACAGTTATTTCGTGTTTCTTCCATTTGCGAATAATCGCACCAACTATTGTCACCTTCTCACGAAGCTGCTTGGCGATGGTCTTGTAGCCCATTCCAGCCTTGTGTAGATCTACAATCTTGTCTTTGACATCCTTGGAGAGCTCTTTGGTCTTGGAATTTGGAATCGTATTGATTGATTGCTTCTGTGGACAGGTGTCTTTTATACAGGTAACAAACTGAGATTAGGAGCACTCCCTTTAAGAGTGTGCTCCTAATCTCAGCTCGTTACCTGTATAAAAGACACCTGGGAGCCAGAAATCTTTCTGATTGAGAGAGGGTCAAATACTTATTTCCCTCATTAAAATGCAAATCAATTTATAACATTTTTTACATGCATTTCTCTGGATTTTCTTGTTGTTATTCTGTCTCTCGCTGTTCAAATAAACCTACCATTAAAATTATAGAATGATCATTTCTTTGTCAGTGGGCAAACATACAAAATCAGCAGGGGATCAAATACTTTTTTCCCTCACTGTATTTATATTTATATATATATATATATATATATATATATATATATATATATATATATATATATATATATATATATATATATATATATATACACACACACGCAGTCCATTCGGAAAGTATTTAGACCCCTTGACTTTTTCCACATTGTGTTACGTTACAGCCTTATTCAGAATTAGATTAAATAGTTTATTTTCCCTCATCAATATACACGCAATACCCTATAATGAAAAAGCAAAAACTGGTTTTTAGACGTTTTTGCAAATGTTTAAGTATTCTTGGGTATTACGCTACAAGCTTGGCCCACCTGTACTTAGGGAGTTTCTCACATTCTTCTCTGCAGATTCTCTCAAGCTCTGTTAGGTTGGATGGGGAGCGTCGCTGCACATCTATTTTCAGGTCTCTCCAGAGATCAGGTTCAAGTCTGGGCTCTGGCTGGGCCACTCAAGGACATTCAGAGACTTATCCCGAAGCCAATCCTGCATTGTCTTGGCTGTGTGCTTAGGGTCGTTGTCCTGTTGGAAAGTGAACCTTCCCCGTCTGAGGTCCTGAGCACTCTGGAGCAGGTTTTCATCAAGGATCTCTCTGTGCTTTGCTCCGTTCATCTTTCCCTCGATGCTGACTAGTCTCCCAGTCCCTGCCGCTAAAAAACATCCACACAGCATGATGCTGCCACCACCATTCTTTACCATAGGAATGGTGCCAGGTTTCCTCCAGACGTGACGTTTGGCATTCAGGCCAAAGAGTTCAATCTTGGTTTTATCAGATCAGAGAATCTTGTTTCTCATGGCCTGAGAGTCCTTTAGGTGCCTTTTGGCAAACTCCAAGCGACTGTTATGTGCCATTTACTGAAGAGTGGCATCCGTCTGGCCACGCTACCATAAAGACCTGATTGGTGGAGTGCTGCAGAGATGGTTGTCCTTGTGGAAGGTTCTCCCACCTCCACAGAGGAACTCTGGAGCTCTGTCAGAGTGACCATCGAGTTCTTGGTCACCTCCCTGACCAAGGCCCTTCTCACCCGATTGCTCAGTTTGGCCGGGCGGCCTGCTCTAGGAAGAGTCTTGGTGGTTCCAAACTTCTTCCATTTAAGTATGATGGAGGCCACTGTGTTCTTGGATACCTTCAATGCTGCAGAAATGTGTTGGTACCCTTCCCCAGATCTGTGAACCGACACAATGCTGTCTCGGAGCTCTACGGACAATCGACCTCTTGGCTTGGTTTTTGCTCTGACATGCATGCACCTTTCCAAATCATGTCCAATCAATTGAATTTACCACAGGTGGACTCCAATCAAGTTGAAGAAACATCTCGAGGATGATCAATGGAAACAAGATACACCTGAGCTTAATTTCGAGTTTCATAGCAAAGGGTCTAAATATTTATGTAAATAAGGTATTTCATTTTTTAAATAAATTTGCAAAAACTTATAAAAACCTGTTTTTGCTTTGTCATTATGGGGTATTGTGTGTAGATTGATGAGGGTAACGTAACAAAATGTGGAAAAAGGGAAGGGGTCTGAATACTTTCCGAATGCACTGTATGTACAGTACTAGTCAAAGGTTTGGAGGTAGTCATGAGGTAGTCACCTGGAATGCATTTCAATTAACAGGTGTGCCTTCTTAACTTAATTTGTGGAATTTCTTTCCTTCTTAATGGGTTTGAGCCAATCAGTTGTGTTGTGACAAGGTAGGGGGGGGTAAACAGAAGATAGCCCTATTTGGTAAAAGACCAAGTCCATATTATGGCAAGAACAGCTCAAATAATCAAAGAGAAACAGTCCATCATTACTTTAAGACATGAATGTCAGTCAATATGGACAATTTCAAGAACTTTCTTCAAGTGCAGTCGCAAAAACCATCAAGCGCTATGGTTAAACTGGCTCTCATGAGGACCGCCACAGGAATGGAAGACCCAGAGTTACCTCTGCTGCAGAGAATAAGTTCATTAGAGTTACCAGCCTCAGAAATTGCACCCCAAATAAATGCTTCACAGAGTTCAAGTAACAGACACATCTCAACATTAACTGTTCAGAGGAGCTGGTTGAGCGAATGCCAAGAGTGTGCAAAGCTGTCATCAAGGCAAAGGGTGGCTACTTTGAAGAATCTAAAATATATTTTGATTTGTTTAACACTTTTTTGGTTACTACATGATTCCATATGTGTTATTTCATAGTTTTGATGTCTTCACTATTATTCTACAATGTAGAAGTCCCGTGTAGCTCAGTTGGTAGAGCATGGCGCTTGCAACACCAGGGTTGTGGGTTTGATTCCCACGGGGGGCCAGTATGAATTTTTTTAAAATAAAATGTATTCACTCACTAACTGTAAGTCGCTCTGGATAAGAGCGTCTGCTAAATGTAGAAAATAGTAAAAATTAAGAAAAACCCTGGAATGAGTAGATGTGTCAAAATGTTTGACTGGTACTGTATATTATATATACACGTGTATATATATATATATATATATATATATATATATATATATATATATATATATATATGTGATAATTAATGAAGTCAGTTGTAAGCAAAAAAATGGTTTCCTGGTCTAATCATCTAGCCTATATCCTGTTTGTTTTTCAGGAAGGAGTCAGTGTCCTGTCCCTGTGAAGCCCCTCTATGGCCAGCTGGATCCGGTCCAGATCCAGTACTCCTTCAAAGACCAGTACTCCTTCATATGTGTATTATACAGGGTGCATTGGTAAAAGAGACCTAGGCTATGTATCAATAGGTCTTCCCTTTTAAATTAAAAGGTACCGAAAAATAATTAAAATATTGCCACTGCCCGCACTATGAGCAGTCCTCCATAGGAATGAATGGAATTCTACAGTATTTCAATTAAATGTTTCAAGGACAAGATTACATATATTTATATATTTCTGTTGTTGTAATGGGGATAGTAACATTAGTAATCGCAAAAAACGTATACTTTAAGGATGCATTAAGGTGTCTGCAATAGAATAAATGTGGCAAAAACAAATGTAGACATTAATAAATGCATTTCTATACCTTCCAAAATATTTTTCACAATATTGGGGGAGTGCCAGGATGGAGGCACGGTGGCTTCAACACATCACCCCCTGGCCGTCATCTTGTGTATCTATTAATAATTGTCTCCAAACCTGTTCCTGGAGAGCTACCCTCCTGTAGGTTTTCGCTCCATCCCCAGTTGTAACTAACCTGATTCAGTTGATCAAGCAGCTAATGATTATAATCTGATATACTAGATTAGGGTTGGAGTGAAAACCTACAGGACGGTAGCACTCCAGGAACAGGGTTGGAGAGCCCTGGAATAGTGTATATTAGATAGCCACTAGGTGGCAACGGATCCCTTTCTACAGAAGACCAGAGGCAGCCGCTGGAAGATAAAATAACACCATGTCATTTTGGGCTTAAGCAGGAGGAAGTAGAAGATAGAGATGACATAGGAGGAAGTAGAAGATAGAGACTTTCTTTGAGGGAATCAGTTTGAGCAAGGCGGAAACACAGAATCGCTCATTTTGATCACATAATGAGTTTATTTTGGATGCAAAGTAAGTCATTGATCAGTGATTCTGCGTAGTCCGACTTCAATGTTTATGTCAAACATGCAGACTGACATCTTTAAGAGTATACCTTTTCTCACCATGGCGACTGGGCGGGTGCCAGATGATCATCTCTTCATATAAATAAAGAGTATTGTTACAGTGGAGAATAAGACTTTAACAAGAGTGTATGGTCCCAACCTGTCTGTCAGTCTCACCCTTATCAGTCTGTATCCTGGGTCACAGGATACCAGGACGTGGTCTTTGAAGGAGTACTGGATCTGGACCGGATCCAGCTGGCCATAGAGGGGCTTCACAGGGACAGGACACTGACTCCTTCCTGAAAAACAAACAGGATATAGGCTAGATGATTAGACCAGGAAACCATTTTTTTGCTTACAACTGACTTCATTAATTATTTGAGTTATTCCCGTTTTATCATTTCAATTGTTGTTGTATTCTACTTGTATTGTGTCTGTGTTAATTTTCACATGTTTTGTTGGGGTGGCTAGACCAATACCATCAATGAAGTGTCTGCATTAGGGTTGCAAAGGGTTCCGGTAACTAGGAGGACATTTCATAGAGGATTCTAGGTGAAACCCATTCCAGAGGGTTCTATCTAGGCTAGAACGATAAAGGGTTCCTCTATGGCAGGGCTGCCCAATTCCGGTCATGGAGAGCAGAATACCACTTCTGGTTTTTGTTTTTACCTGGTAGTTAATTGCACTCACCTGGTGTCCCAGGTCTGAATTAGTTCCTGATTAGAAGGAGAGGATTAAAACCAGAATTGGGGACAAGCCGAAAAACCCTCTATGGCTCTAGTTAGCAAAAATAATGTACCGAACACAAATTAAGACATTCAACAGAGTTGAAAAAGTTACATTTTGGGAAAAGTGTACACAATGACATATGAATATTTGGTGTGGCTAACCTGAGGAGGTGTAGGAGAGCCTCCAGCCGATGTTCTCTCCAGAGTTATCACTGTGGAAGAACACCTGGACCTTGTTGCTCTCTGTCTGGATCCTGCCTGGTGGCCGGTCACCACAGAACGGACCGTACTCCTTCTCTCCCGCCTGGATCTGCAGGTCAAACACACCACTTCTTCATCATTACATTTACATTTACATTTTAGTCATTTAGCAGACGCTCTTATCCAGAGCGACTTACAGGAGCAATTAGGGTTAAGTGCCTTGCTCAAGGGCACATTTACTTCATTTAGCAGACGCTCTTATCCAGAGCGACTTACAAATTGGTGCAATCACCCTATAGCCAGTGGGATAACCACTTTACACCACTTTTTTTTTTTTGGGGGGGGGGGGAGGGGTAGAAGGATTACTTTATCCTACCCCAGGTGTTCCTTAAAGAGGTGGGGTTTCAAATGTCTCCGGAAGGTGGTGAGTGACTCCGCTGTCCTGGCGTCGTGAGGGAGCTTGTTCCACCATTGGGGTGCCAGAGCAGCTAACAGTTTTGACTGGGCTGAGCGGGAACTATGCTTCCGCAGAGGAAGGGGAGCCAGCAGGCCAGAGGTGGATGAACGCAATGCCCTCGTTTGGGTGTAGGGACTGATCAGAGCCCGAAGGTACGGAGGTGCCGTTCCCCTCACTGCTCCATAGGCAAGCACCATGGTCTTGTAACGGATGCGAGCTTCAACTGGAAGCCAGTGGAGTGTGCGGAGGAGGGGGGTGACGTGAGAGAACTTGGGAAGGTTGAACACCAGACGGGTTGCGGCATTCTGGATGAGTTGTAGGGGTTTAATGGCACAGGCAGGGAGGCCAGCCAACAGCGAGTTGCAGTAATCCAGACGGGAGATGACAAGTGCCTGGATTAGGACCTGTGCCGCTTCCTGTGTAAGGCAGGGTCGTACTCTCCGAATGTTGTAGAGCATGAACCTGCAGGATCGGGTCACCGCCTTGATGTTAGCGGAGAACGACAGGGTGTTGTCCAGGGTCACGCCAAGGCTCTTCGCACTCTGGGAGGAGGACACAACGGAGTTGTCATCATCATCATAATAATTTATTTCACTTATATAGCGCTTTTAAGAACAAAAAATTACACGTAATTTAGAAAAACAACATCACAACATCATGAGATGGACAGTCATTAGAAGGTTCATGGCTTGAGTGGTCATCTGTGGTCCTCTGTAGCTCAATTGGTAGAGCATGGCGCTTGTAACGCCAAGGTAGTGGGTTCGATCCCCGGGACCACCCATACACAAAAATGTATGCACGCATGACTGTAAGTCGCTTTGGATAAAAGTGTCTGCTAAATGGCTTATTATTATTAATATTATTATAGGTGGTCAAGCGGGGAGAGAATGTCTGTAGGCAGGCAGGAAGCGCATTCTCATCAAGGTGTCTCGCTTTTATCATGACCATCATCCTCATCATAGTCATCGTCATCACCATCATCATCACTACAATCATCATCATGACTACCATCATCACAGTCATGGTCATCACCATCATCGATCCTCCTCCTCATCTCATTATCATCATTATTACACAGCCCCATGACCAAAGATCCTACACAAACCCTTCCAAAGAAACACTCATACGGTAATTCAATCAGCTTTAGCTTGCAGTCACTCCCTCCCAAAACTTCTCCAGTTTAAGTTGATTAATTGTGTGCATGATGCGAGGCGACATTGACTGGCTTAGTGGTAAGTTCCAAGCGTTCCTGATTTTCCAAAGCTGTGGCTGAGGGTGATGGTGGGAAAGCCCAATGTGACCCTGTCTGACTGGCCCTGGTCTGGCCTGGGCTAGCCTGGTCTGGTTGGTTATTCTTGGCGAATGGTATTACAGCTTTTAGGAGCAGAGGCTAAGCCAGCTGTGTGTGTGTTTGTGTGTGTGTGTGTGTGTGCATGTGCGTGTGTGTGTTTGTGTGTGTGTGTGTGTTTGTGTGCGTGTGCGTATGTGTGTGTGTGTGTGTGCGCTGCCCACTGATGCTATAACATTGGCTGGGATTTTCCCTCCTTCATTTTCTGAATGGTTAAATTGGCTCACACATACTGTATACAGATCAGTGGGTCAACAAATGTATGTTAATTGCCTTAATTAATTCAATGATAAAACAATGTGGTACTGAATGGCTGTTGTTTACAGATAAATGGTGTACCTAAACCTTAGTTTGAATGTTTGGTATCACCAGTTCAGTTTAGTTCAGTATCTTCATTGTCCCAGAAGTGCAATTTTAGTTAAATATAAAAAGCAGGTATAGAAAACACACAATATAAAACCATATAAATGCTACAACATTGGAAAAGTGCAAGTACGATAAGTGCAAAATGCAAGTAGTGCAAATGTACAAAGGCCAAAAGTCAATCAAGCAAGGTTAATCACACTTTAGCATTCACTGCAGCTATTGCCTTGGGGATCAAAGATGCCTGAGCTTTAGCAGTCTTAAGCATGGGTACTCTGTACCGGCTCCCGAAGGACGAAGCTAACAGTTCAAACTCACAGTACTGAGGGTACGATTGATAGGTCAAAAGAGAGGAAGCCTTGTGGCTGACGTGCTACTTGTATAGCTCAGTGAGGGCTAATTGTGGCAACCCTGTGATCCTGCTGCAGATTTTGACCATGGTTAATAACTTGGATTTGCATCTAAGGTTAATGTTAGAGAATCAACATATCGTGGCAAAGGGTTGGGTAGTAACGGATGACATGTAACTTGGATTACGTGATGGATTACATGTTATTTAGATTACGTAATCCAATTACACAAAATAAGTAACAGTAATTTATATTTGTATGTATTAGGGAGCCAAGGCAGCAGCTACTCTTCCTGGGGTCCAAACACATTAAGGCACTTACATCACACAAAACAAAACAGTACATCATATAACATTAATACACCACTACATATCTACAATACAAAATGTATAATACCACCATACAACAATATTACAATGTACGTGTGTGCAGTGGTGGAAAAAGTGCCCAATTGTCATACTTGAGTAAAAGTAAACATACCTTAATAGAAAATGACTCAAGTAAAAGTGAGTCACCCAGTAAAATACTAAAAGTATTTGGTTTTAAATATACTTAAGTATCAAAAGTAAATGTAATTGCTAAAATATACTTAAGTATCAAAAGTAAAAGTATAAATCATTTCAAATTCCTTACATAAAGCAAACCAGACTGCACTATTTTCTTGTTTTTTAGCCAGGGGCATACTCCAACACTCAGACATAATTGACAAACAAATCATATATGTTTAGTGAGTCTGCCAGATCAGAGGCAGTAGGGATGACCAGGGATGTGCATGAATTGAACTAATTTCCTGTCGTGCTAAGCAATCAAAATGTAACTAGTACTTTTGTGTGTCAGATCAAATGTATGGAGTAAAAAGTACATTATTTTCTTTAAGAATGTAGCGAAGTAAAAGTTGTCAAAAATATAAATAGTGAAGTACATATACCCAAAAAAACGACTTAAGTAGTACTTCAAAGTATTGTTACTGAAGTACTTTACACAACTGCGTGTGTGTAGAGTGCGTGTGCTTGCATTTGTATGCGTATGCGTGTCTCTTCACAGTACCCACTGTTCCATAAGGTGTATTTTTATCTGTTTTTTAAAATCTGATTCTACTGCTTGTGGAATAGAGTTCCATGTAGTCATGTAGTTCTGTGCGCCTCCCATAATCTGTTTTGGACTTGGGGATTGTGAAGAGACCTCTGGTGGCGTCTTGTGGGGTATGCATGGGTGTCCGAGCTGTGTGCTAGCAGTTTCAACAGACAGCTTGGTGCATTCAGCTTGTAAACACTTCTTACAAAAACAAATAGTGATGAAGTCAACCTCCCCTCCACGTTGAGCCATGAGAGGCTGACATGCATATTTCTTATGATAGCTCTCCGTGTACATTTAAAGGGCCAGCTGTGCTGCCCTGTTCTGAGCCAATTGCAATTGTGGCACCTGCAAAAAAACTAGGGCCTGTAGGACCTGCCTTGTTGGTAGTGTTGTTAAGAAGTACTCAGATCAGACTACTTAAATGTGTAATCAGAAGTTATATTGTTAAAAGATAGCTAATTACATGTTGTATTACTTCATCTAATGTCAAGATGTGGTCTGCAAGTGTTTGCCTCAAACACACTGAAATTGTTGACAGCTGTTCTGAGTCAACTTTCAGTGAGAATGGAAGCTTTTCGATTTGAAATCTCCCAAACTGAAAAATATGCTCTCCTTGGTAACTTTCCACAGAAACGTTTTAACCAAAAACAGTCAGACCCCCCACTTACTGAATCATCCCACATTTCAACTGGATTTTTTTTATTTAAAGGACATTTAACAAAATATGCTTGCTTTGAGGCAAGCAACACTGAAGCATGCATGAGAGCATCAGCTGTTCCGGATGACTATGTGATCACGCTCTCAGTAGCCGATGTGAGTAAGACTTTTTAAGCAGGTCAACATTCACAAGGCTGCAGAGCCAGACGGATTACCAGGTACTCCGAGCATGCGCTGACCAACTGGCAAGTGTCATCACTGACATTTTCAACATGTCCCTGACTGAGTCTGTAATACCAACATGTTTCAAGCAGACCACCATAGTCCCTGTGCCCAAGAACACCAAGATATCCTGCCTAAATGACTACTGACCCATAGCACTCATGTCTGTAGCCATGAAGTGCTTTGTAAGACTGGTCATGGCTCACATCAACACCATTATCCCAGAACTAGACCCACTCCAATGTTCGAAACAAATCAAAATGTACTTGTAACATGCTTCGTAAACAACAGGTATAGACTAAACAGTGAAATGCTTACTTATGAAAAGTCATTTTCCAAATATGCAGAGTTAAAGATAAAAAATATAAAATAAGAATATAACACAAGTAATAAATACACAGTGAATAACGAATAACAAATAACAAATAGCATGGCTTTATGCAAGAAATATCAGTACCGAGTCGATGTGCAGGGGTACGAGGTAATTGAGGTAGCTATGCACATATAGGTAGGGGTAAAGTGAGTAGGCAGCAGGATAGGTAACAGACTGAGCTGTAGCAGCAGTGTATGTGGTGAGCGTG